TATCTGTTTGCCTGTTAAAGATCTCAAGTCATTGTGTTGTTAATGAGACAGTAGTCTGTGAAAAATACGAAAGCTCACCCTTTATGAAACGACAAAGGAAGAATGTTTTACTACTGTCGTTTCTTTTCCCTCTGGGCCTTTCAAGAGGCATGTGGGAGCCGGAGAGCCCCTTTGTCTGCCTTCATTAAAATGAAGCCCAGACAGCCTCCGCTGGCACAGACCAGAGGCCGCGGCGTCTTGTGTTCACAGTGGAATTTGGATGGCATTTGGGTCCAGTTTGTGTGCCGTGACGGGACGTCACGGCAGGTTCCGTGGTGAACGCAAACTTTCTTCACTCGTTATATTTAGCTAGAGGATGAAATCACCTTACACTGTAATCACAGCTCCCTCCGACAGTTTCTTTCTCAGAGAAAGAACTAGGAGCCTCAGGAAGGCATTTGTCCTGTCAGCCGTTGAGACACCAATTCCGGGGCCGGCTGATAAAGCGGCATTGTTTGCAAGGAGTCTGTTGCGCTCTTCCTGCGTCTGTTAATGATTTAATTAATTGCAGGAAGTAAATGGGATGGAATACAATCGTAAATAGTATGTCTGCTATACTCTTATTTGTCCTTTAAGAAATACCCACACTATAGGGATGACCATTTATATGCAACAATATATTTATTTTAGGTTGTAGTCTTTTCCCTTTTTATTTGTACAGTGTCCGTCAGACTTTCTGATCTTTTGTGAGCGTCCTTACTGGCCCCAATAGTACAGGAGGGCGGGTGATGGTATGGGTCTTTTGTCATCCAGGAAACAAACAGATAATTGACCCACTTTAGGTTAACTCTGGACCAAACTAGGGCTCATGAGCTATTAGATATGCTAAACAAGAAATAATTGCTTTAATTGTATTGCACATCACAACACCTAAATTTTAGAACTCTGTTAGTGGGCCACAGTAATTATTTTGCTTTGGTTAGATTTTTTAAATTTGGTGAGTCGAGCTGGAGTCCAGCTTTCTCAGGCTTTGTTACACAGCCTTCATGATGACATTTTTTTTTATCCTGTGGGTTTTCTTTCATGGAACAGCTTATTGAACTCGGCTAGTTGAATTGAATGTTAGAATGAACAAAAACCACATCTCCTGTATCCTACTTGTCATGAAGGCTTGGAGAACTTTTTACCAAAGGCCATGGGTATAGGAATTTCAAAAGGAACCACAGATAAATTTATAGGCTGTGAGAAGGAACACAAAAGGTATCTGGTCAAATGCCATTGTAGGAAGGATAAAAGGAAGGTTAGACAGCGGTGAGGTCTCTTTGCTTCTGTGGAAGGGTCAGGAAGACCGGGTAAGGTGTGAAGTCCTCAGTGGGCGCTCCATTTGGTTCAGCCCCATTCACAGTCCTGCCTCTTCATTTCAAAGCCAACTCTCCTCTTTCTCAGTATGTATTTGTCTTTTCTAGCAGATGCCTGGTATTCAAGAAAACATCTGGCTTTGCTGTCTCTTCGACCTTTGCACAATTAAGTTCAAATCAGTCACGTTTTTAATTAATTATATGAGAGGCAGGATGAGGTGTCCCTACAGCTGACTCCTGCGTAGGGGACTGTAGTTGTATCATTGCACACCTTGCATAGAGAATTCAAGGGTTTTGAAAGGATGGCATTTACAGATATTTCTGTTAAATGCATCTCTTCTCAACTCAGTCTTCGTCCTGTCCCTCGGTCACCTATGTTTTGTGTAGAGTGCTTTGCCCCGGCGCATTGCACGCTGCGTTGGATTTTGTGTGTGTGTTTGATTTCCACTCTGTCTGCTCCTTCACGTGGAGGGCTGTGAGGAGCAGGAGGTCCCGTTTTACCCCCTTGGCACCCTCAGCCTCGCATGGGCCCCGGCAAAGGCAGGCGCTCCATGAATGTGGAAGAAAAAGTGGTCCAGTCGGGAGAGTCATAGAAGCTGATATGCCCAAGTTGACAACAGGGCAAAGGGAAAAATCTGTGAACTGGGTGTGGGATGCACTGTGACTTCATGTGGATTGTTTCATATTGTCCCCAGAGAAAATAGCTGTCTGGAGTGAGCCCCGGATTTGATATCTAAATTTAATAATGGGTATGTCTGGGCCCCGGTTGTTCTTGCTCTTAGAATTCCATCTTTTATTGAGCGTCTCCTCCCTGCTTCAGAGATGCTGTGCTTTCTCTGCCTGCCGGCGGGAGGGAGCTTCTTGGCAGGGCTCTCCAAGGCCCTGGGGGAAGTCGTGGGGCTTTGACAGCATCTGACTCAATTGAAGCCATTTCAAGAAGGGGCCCCTTTCAGCAAGGGCAACAAGGAGTGTCTTGTTCTGTTCTCTGCAGTCCCTGCGAGGGGCCGCCGTGTCTAAGAGATGCCATTAGCATCCAGGCAGCATGCCACAAGAGTGACAGATTTCATCTGGACCTCTGGAAACTAGCTGCAGGGCGAGGCCGCCGCTGAAACCGGCCGCTCGGTGCCCGACGGGCCGTGCTGGGGGAACCTTGCATGAACGGAGGGCGCAGACAGCAGGAAGGGCCTTGGAGCGCGGCCGGGGTAAGCCAGAGAGCAGCCTGCCTTGCAGGTGTGGCCTCTGGAGAAGGCATAGGTCACTTTTAAGGTTTCTCTTGGTCAACAACTTTTCCATCTGTAAGATACTTCATTTCCAGTTGCCTTTATACTTCGCAAGTTCTAGTTGAGCCTGAATAAGAAAAAAAAGTTGACCCAACAAAGAGATGATATCAAAGATTTATGTGTTTGCTTGGGATTATATTAAAGGAAATTGTGCTTAAGCTGTTCCTGATAGAACCATCCTAAAGTCCTTTGTCTTGTGTTAGGGAGCGACATAAGGTCTCATAAGCAAGACAGTAATATGTTTACATTGTGCATAATACTACTACTTGACACACCAACTCAACCAAGCGCCCAGCCTCATCTTCCTTTCGAGAAGACTTGTCGCTCAGCAAACTGCTGTTTGCCTGCTTCCTGCCCTCTGTCATTACTTTATAAGGACTTTCTAGGGACCAGCACCTCTGGGACCCCAGACCACCTGGCTTTATATTCCGACTGCCCTGCTTGGCCCTTCTACTATGAGCAGGCACTTAACACTCCAGCTTCAGCTTTGTTCTCTGGGAAAGTGGAAATAATTGTGGTAATATGTATTTTTTTTCCCCCAAGAATGTTATAAAGATTAGATTAGACGGTACTTGCAAAATGCAAAGAAGTACCATACCTGGCACATAAGTGCTCCATAGAACCATTTAGGAGAAGGCCCAGTTTCTGCCCGCCTGGAGTTCACGGCCTGGTAAGAGAAGCAGGCAAGTCAGCGACGCTGGGGCATCGGCGGGAGATGAGTGGTGATGAGTCCCTGCGTGTGCCAGGCAGTGAACCTTGTAGGTAAGACCTGCCTGTCCTCATGAGGCTCGCCATTGACCAGGAGTGTGCAGAAGGGTGTGTAAGAACGGGATCGGCAGACCAGGGTGCGGACGGAGAATGGGTTCACACACCAGGGGAGGCTGCCTGGAGGAGGGGAGGTTGTGTTTTCAGTAAGCGGTGGATGTGTTGGACAAAAGTCGATATGGAAATGGACACAACGTAGGATTCCATCTTCATGAAGAACGGGATAGGCAAAACTAGTCGATGATGATGGAAATCAGAGCAGCGGATACCTTTGCTGGGGGCGGGGGGTGTTATTGAATAGAAAACCTCCTGGCCCGTGTCTCCTGACCTTGCAACCTGTGTACACGGGTATATCTAATTACTCACCCACAGGGCCGTGTACACACGTAAGATCAGTGCAGCCTTTTATTCTATGTGTGTTCTTCAGTTGAAAATTTTAAGTAGTGATTATGAGTGCACATAGCTCGGTAAAAATCGAGGCAGGGAGGTCGTGTTTGAGAGTGAGAAGAGCCAGCAGGAAAGGGGTGGGACGGCTTGGCGTCTCCGCGTGCTGTGGGCGTCTGGACGGAAGGAGGGGTACACGTAGCGGTAGAGATGGGGTGGCCATGAGAAGGATCTTTTAGGTGCAAACTCTTATGGGAGAAAAAAAGTCTTTTTCAAGTACCGGGTATACAAAGTAAGAAGATAGAGTGGCCCTATAGAAATTGATGCTGGTTGGAACTGCACATGTTAGAACTTACGTGTATTCTCACCGTTCTCACGGGCCTTTGGGAGGATTCCGTGAGATAATGGATGTCAAATGCTGTATGTGCCGTGTAGTGTGGACTTAATAAATGCTTCTTAAGAGATTTCAAAGTGTATACGTGTGTGTAGTTCATTTCATTGCAATCCCGATATCTGACTTTCCATATCATAAACTATATTGCAGAGTAGTGCTTGCTTATCTGAAACTTTTGATCCTTTAGCTAAATAATTATTTAATTCCATGTAATTATAGCTTAATATTGTATTAAAAAGTCTGGGGTTTTTTTTCCTTGAATTCTTTTTGGCTGTACTCATTAAGCCATTTTAAGCATCTGAGAGCAGTCTAAAAAAGGTCAAACGTTTTCTATTTCAATAAAGCTCATATTTGGCAATATCAGTTGTATGAGGAACAAAACAACATCAAATATGTCAAGATTCTCATCTTTTCCAAAATGGCTTGAGTGTGGGGGGAGGGGAACGAGAGGGAGTGGAGAGAGACTGATTTACTAGGATTGTTTTCTTTTTTAAGGAAATTTACTTTTTTTTAGATCTTACACATCAGATTATCAGTGTATGAAACATTTTTTTGGAATTGCAGTGAGTTAAGTGTAATCAGCTCTTCATTAAATGTTAGCCTTTCATGTGAGAAATTCCACTTAATAGCTAGCCAAATTTATTCAGAATCTTTGACAATGACTAGTTTTCAGCTCTGGTCTTCGGTTTAAAACTCTTACCCTTGTTTTGGAGGCCAGCCCCTCACCTCTCTACATGATCTCTCCCGTCTCCCTGTTTTGGGGAATGGCTTTGCATTCTAGGGCAATGCTTCATTCTGTGTCTCAACGCCTTGGGTGATGGGTGTGCTCTCTGTGTTTAGGAGCGAGCGCGCCCGCTGGATAACTGCCCTGGGACGCAGCGGCGGGAAGCAGCCTCCTGACCGAACCTGTAAGTACCTCGGCGCTGGCTGCTCTGGAACGCGAAACGCGGAGGGGCTCTGCCCCCTGCTGGACGGTGGGGTATTAATGCTCCCTCGAAGTTTCCTTCCTGCTGCCCGCCAGTAGAACTGGGTGATCTCTGTATTGGCAGCGAAGGCGTCTGAATTCAAATGCAAGGCGCAGTTCTTTACTGTATAAACGTGGCAAATCGTTGCATATCCACCCTGAACCTGTTTAACCTTGTGCAAGTCAGGAGCGTCGTGATGTACGTACAACAGCGGGTTATCATGAGGATAGAGATAAAGAACATCCATGTAAAGCCCTGTTTGGGCTATTAAGCTCTTAAAATTTTAGCCGTTGTTAAGAGCCATCAGCTGCATGTTTAAACCACACTGACAAGCTAAATCTACGCTGAAAGGAGTTTTTAACCTTAGAGAAAATTGCTTTAGCATCCCTTTGACTCTCTCTTTTATTAAAGTGATAATATTAACAAAATGCTGTTCATTCTTCTAGAGAACGAGGAACTGGTGCAGTACAGGGAGGTGTATTGGCACCTTAATGTTGGTGTTATGCTTCCCTGGATGGTTCTAGCTGGAAGGTCACATCCAAAGAAAAAGGGCAACAGAACTGGCTGTCCTGGAACACTAAAAAAAATCTTAGCTTTAAGCTGAGAGCCAAAGCTAAAAGTGATTGGTATGGAAGTTCTTAGAATCAAGTTGTGTATTTAAGCACATTAAGAAGCCTCGTCAGTTATGACCAAGTCCTTCTAAAGTGTTTTCTAACTTTGGGTTGGAGATGTTTTTATTCCTAAACCTCTTCGGCAGCTTCCACGGGCCGCCCTGGTGGGAGCCCAGGGAACTGCGTGCGCCGCAGCTGCCACCATCAGTTGCAGGCCCTTGGCACATTACCTACCTGTCTCGCCTCGGTTTCCCCAACGTAATGGCTGTGTTCTGTTCCATCATGTGACATGACCAATGACACCTTATCAAGACTGTCATTGAAGGGATTCATACATCACAAAAGATCTCTCATGACTCTGAGCTTCTAAAATTACAAAGCTCTCAGTCACGTATGAGAGTTCTTAGAAAAGATTTTCTCCTTCTTGCTAGAAGCCTGAGTTGTTTCTGTCCATGCCGACCCTGAATTGCACAGGAAGACTGGGCAAATGCCCACTATTGCTTTGTACCTGGTTTGTTTTCCCTCTGCTGCCGGAAGCTCAGTGGGTTCCCTTTCCTCCTCAGCGCTGACCCAGGTAGAAATCATTAGATCGTTTACGGCCAAGCAGCCAGATGAACTCTCCCTGCAGGTGGCAGACGTGGTCCTCATTTACCAGCATGTCAGCGACGGTGAGTGGAAGTGTTCTCATGGGGCACTGGGGGTCCAGCCTTCAGGGTGTGAAGAACCAAGGAGTCTCCCTTTTGTCATTAATGCTCATATTCCATATCCCTTCAGCTTTCTCATCTGCGCCAGCCCCTCTCCTCTTTGTACACATTACTGCTTTTAAATGTTCTTCGGTAGGGATGAAGTCACATGGTTTGTTATTCAAAGGAACTGTGAAAAGTTTTCCTTCCTTCCCAGTGCTCCTGTGACCTAGTTCTCGTCTCCGGAGTTCTTCCTTCCTTCCTTAAACATAAAATTATTTTTGCTGCTGCCCCTACCCAAAGCACCCTCTTCCGCAGCTCAGCCCAAGCTCATGCACCCTCTCAGCCGCCTCACTTCACGGCTTCGTGTTCTGCCCCTGGTAAGCCTTTCATTCCCCCGTGAATCTTTTCCCTCGGTTCCACCTCTTCTCTCCGTCCTTCATCATCTGTGATACCCAGTATCCTTCTTGGAGCCGAGCACTGTTAGGGTTCATCCAAGTACGTGTTGCTTCATGAGGACTCTCTTCTTCTTTGCAGGCTGGTATGAAGGCGAGAGACTGCGAGATGGAGAGAGGGGCTGGTTTCCTATGGAATGTGCCAAGGAGATAACATGTCAAGCTACCATTGATAAGAATGTGGAGAGAATGGGACGTTTGCTAGGACTGGAGACCAACGTGTAGCCTCTCTGCTGGCCTTTTGTGACTGCGAGATTTGCACTACATCATGGTGGGTGGGTGGGTTCTGGGCTGGTTTTCTTGTTCATTTTAACACAGCCAATTTAATTAAAAGAAGGAAAACATTTACCTGAAGCTCGCCAGGTGGTTTTGCTCTCTCAGGAGAACAGCTCCTGGATACCATTAGTTCACACAGCTCAGTGAGTGCACAAGGACCCTCTTGCACACCTCTAGGTGAGCAGAGTAGCTGAGCAATCCACTTCAGGGACCAGGTGGCCTCAGCTCCCTCTTGTTGCACCGCGCCTGGCATCAGAACGTCAGATGCCATCTCCTGATTTTCTCTATCCTCACTTAACAAAGAATGTGCTTATCTCTTTAAGCATCTTCTTTCCGGGGTTTCCCCAGCATTAGCAAGATTTTATATCTTTAAGGGATGTCCAGTTTTACAAATATTTTTCTTGTGCCTACATTTTAGATCTGATTAGAATGCTGTGTTGCTTTCAAAGGAACTGGCAGAGTTCTGAAGGTGAGCAGTTTTTCAAAACCTTTTCCCAGGAAAGGGAAATTGACACTTGAATTTTTGCCACCTCTTCCCTTGTTAGCAGGGAAGGAAGGCGGCCTTACCTTAAAGATTTTTTTTGTAATCCATCTCACTCAATATTGGTCTTAGATTAAGGATAGCTTAAGAAAACTAAGCTACTTCAGCATGGAATTTAGATGGTTCACATATGTGAGAAAACACTAAATATAGGACTGGGTTGCTACTTTAAAAAATAATCCCCAGTGAGCTGGTAAACTGACGTGAGGCTGCTTTGCCTTCAATAATGCAAGATTTTGGACTGTTTTCTACTCTCATTTGTTTCCAAATAGGAAATAGAACACACTTTACCACTCTGAAGGAAGATAAAATTAGGCCTTAAAGGGTATCAAAAAGCCAGCATGGTACTTAATTGAAAGATAACACTTTGCCCTTCGTGGGAATCCATTTTATTTGCACTGAAGGCCTCACTTGCTGGCCTTGGAGTCTCTCTTTCCTGCAGGTGTCTGCAGAACTTTATTTCTCCACTCGTGAGAACTTCTGTCTCTCTACTCATGCGAGGAGATAGAAAAGTCATTTTAAAGGTATGGCTCATAAGAGGGCCTGAGGGTTCAGAAAGCTGAGGGGGGAGAGGTCATTTTCACTGGCAGCTCCATTCCCTCCCTCTTCCACAAAGGGTTAAAACGCGGCAAGGCTGCATTACTCAAGGACAGAGATCAATGCGTGACAGGTCCCAGCCACTGTCTGCCAGTCAGTTACCCAAACTGAGAGTGAAGTTGCAGAAGCCCATTGCGGGAGGGAAGTGTGTTCGGCTGAGGCAGTGCTCTGGGTCTTGCCCCCTCAAGCTGTGAGCCAGGGTGGGGCGCCCTGGGCCTTCTCACCCCAGGATCGCTCGCCTTTACCTGTGCATACATTTCTGAGTATAAAACACACACCAGGCCCCAGGTTCCTTGAGGTCTGGGAGTCATGGCAGCAGGCACAGCAAGAGATGTTTTGGAGTTGGCATAAAAGAAATCTGTCTCCTTCCTCTGCAATGTCACAGGCTTTTTGGAGGAGAGGCTAACAAGTTGTAATCTAATCTAATGCGCTGTTTTCATATAGGAAGGAAGGTCAAGTCATTGCTTGCAAAGGGATCATCTTGTATTATTTTTGCTAATACCCAGAAGCTGAAAAGCAACTATATGAATCCTGTGAATTAATTTATAAGTAGAGATGTTAAACAGTTTTGGAAATAGGTGTGTCTTTTTAATCAAAGACTTATTTAGCACACAGGTTAAAACTGTTATTTGATAAAGTGTTGTTTTATGGCAAGTATTTAACACACTCACAATGTTTAAGGTCAGCCATGAATTGTCATTTTTACATGACACAGTATTTTTTCCCACCTAGTTCAGCTTCTGCAATAGCTTCTCTGAATTGTGTGATTTCGCTCAGTGACCTGTGGAGAACAAAAATGATCATTTTTGTCCCAATGGATTGAGGCTGCTTGTACACTTTCAGCAAAATATGTGAATTTATAAAGATTTTGTATATACTTGTTCATTTGTTCTGCTGTGATTTAATTAACTGTAGGATGTATTCATTTAAGTATATACTAGTTTGCTGAATTCTTGGCCAAATCAGAATTCCACTAAAAAGATAGCTAACGTCAAAGGGGACAGGTCTGCCCTCCTGGGGCACATGCGACCATCAGCTGCACGGGAGGCCGCCCAGGAGGCTGGAGCGTTTCTAAGAGCTGGGCCGTACTGCTTCTCCTCATAGTTGCCACCAAACTGCATGACCGACTAGCTTATCGTAAAGAGTGCATAGCTCCCTAGCTGCTGTCCACCCCTGGAGGACGTCTTACCATTTGTCTTATCATCGCATCTAAACCTTTGGGCTTGGGAAATTTCACCACCTTGTGAATCTTGGTGGAAAGCAGAGAAAGACTTCCTCTATATTAGTTTTCTTTTGCTGTGTAACAAATTTCTGTCAAACAGCACTCATTTTTTACCTCACAGTTCTGTGGCCGGAAGTCCAGGACGGCATGATGGGGTTCTCTGTCTTGAGCGCCACGGGCTCAAGTCAAGTGTTGGCTGTCTGATGTCTCAGCTGGAGCGTGGTGCCTTCTTTCAGGCTCATACCTGTTATTCTCACATTCAGTTCCTCATGGGAACAGGACTGAGGTCCCTGTTTCCTTAATGGCTGCCAGTGTGCGATGAGGGGGTGATGCTCGTAGCTTCCACTGGCTGTTCACATTCCATGCCAGGTGGCTTCTTCCACCTTTAAGGCAGCCGTGGCATGTTGAACCCTCACACTTGGGATCTCTCTGACTCCACACACACATAGTATGCTAGCAGCTGGGGGGAAACAACTCTGCTTTTAAAGAACTCATGTAATTATATGACCCACAGGATAATCTCCCTTAATCAACTGGTCTGGCGTCTTAATTAGATCTGCAAAATTCCTTTGCCATGAACAGAACAATCACAGAGATCAGGGGTCATCTTCGAATTCTGCCTACGACACCCTCTGTAAAACCTTAAAATGCTAGATTAGTTTCCCAGAAATCCTTGCAGCTAAAATACAGGGTCCGGCACAAATTACACACCTTTTTATTACAAAATCTTTTATTACAAAATCATAAGCACATACCTCTGTGACATAACAATATCACACTCAAGAATTTTAGGTGAAATGTTCAAATTAAAACTACAAATTGTTACACTTATATTATTACCCTACCAACCACACTCAAGTAGGCATTACTTTTGCCAGACTCTACAGCCATGTGATAGGATACACAATCAAAGGAACCTTTGTTGGATATCCAAGTTAGCTAGTGATGGAAGAGGAAGAGATGACGAGTACCATCGCTGGAAGTTGTAGGATGCCTCCCGCTCTTCATCTTCCATCCAAATTATTGTTAACATGTTTGCTGGACTTAGGAAAGCAACAGAGAGGTAGTGCTGCTTGGTGAACTTGCAGTACTAAATAACACAGCCCAGGGTTTTAGTGCCTTCCATAGTCGCCCTTGCTGTGGATTGAGTCTTCAGAGGGCTAACTATGGAGTGAGGATAGAAATCTGGAGGACCTCCCACTTCGCTCTTTGCCCTGGAGGAAGCTAGCATCGTCTTAGTTCTCAATTATTTCCAAGAACAAATTCTCAAATGAAAGGATCAGGGAAAAAAAAATTCTGACACAGCATCATGATACAGAAAAAACTGACACACACAGGGACTCTAGATACTTAAATCACTTGAGACAAGAAAATAATTTTAATGGTTATGTTTATGGAGATAAAGGCAAACTTTAAAATGCAATACAGAAGAATCACAATCACAAGAAGTGACAAGAAAAAAAAACAACAGCTGGAAATGGTGGAACTGGGTGTTTACACAAGGTTAGATTGTTAAAAGAAATATCGGTGAACCTACATGGACACATGGAGAGAAGAGGCATGTGGAACTCAAGGATATATGTAACTGGAGTCCAGAGGGGAGGGGAGAGGGCACTTTGGCAAGGGGACTGCGTCTTTATAACCCTGTCCTGACCACCCATGCAATGTAGACCGTCCCCAGAAAGAGGACGTGGCCTTGGGTAAGATGACTTCCTATAACTGTAGAGGCTGACGGGCAAAGGCTGCCATCTTGACAGCACTTTTCAGGAGCCGAAGGAGTAAGTCCATCTGGGCAAGAACATGACAACATTCACCCCATGTAGCTATATCAAAATTAGATAAAATAGTCTTTAAGGTAAAACATATGGCTAGGGATAGCGAGTCTACATAGTGATGCAAGTTTCACTTAACCAGGAAGATATAACAGTTCTAAATATACTCCCAATAACACTATCTCAATATATGTAAAGCAAAAACTGGCAGAAATATAAGATCTAAAATCACAGTATGAGACTACTTACCTCTCATTTGACAGGAAAAACAAAAAGTGCAGAAGTAGATAAAAATCTAAAGTAGATCTGAATGTGGCATAATAGGACTGTGCAGTGACTTCAGCACACATTCATTTCAAGCATACATAGAATATTTACATTTCTTGGGTCATCAAACAAGTTTCACCAAATTTTAAAACTCGATTAAAGGACTGAAACTGATATAGAATAAGTCCTTGGATTACAGCCTAAATATATTAGAAATCAATAACAAAAGTGAAAGATTTATCTGGAAATAGACATAAGTGTAACATGAAAAACTTATAAAACTTCTAGTGGATAACAGAAGAAAATCGAAGTGATCTTGGGTTTGGAAATGACTTTTTAAATACTACATCAAAAGCATGATCAGTGAAAGAAAAAATTGGTAACTTGAACTTCATTAACACAGAATAAAAAGACAATCCAGAGGAGGAGGAAATCTTGCAAAACATCTGATAAAGAATTGGCAACTAAAATATAAGAACAACTTTCAAAACTCAATAATTAGGAAGCAAACCAATTTAAAAATGGGCCAAGTTCTGGAAAACTCCCACAGATATACCAATGGCAACTAAGCATATGAAAAGATGCTAAAGATCATGCATAATTTAAGAAATTGCACATTAAAATGAGATCACCATTATGCACCTATTAGAATGGCTCCCATCCACAGCTCTGACAATACCAGTCCTGGTGAGGAGGAGCAACAGGAACCTGCATTCGCTGCTGGTGGGAATGCAAAAGTCCCTGGGAGGACAGTTTGGCAGTTTCTCACAGAACTAAGCAAACACCATACGATGCAGCAATCACAGTCCTTGGTATTTAGTCAAGAGTTGAAAACTATGTCCACACCAAAATCTGCACACAAATGTTTATAGCAGTTTCATTCATAATGGCCAAAGCCTGGATGAACAGTTTTATGGACATAAATTCAACAACTTAGGTAAAATGGACCAATGCATTGAAGACCACAAACTACCAAAACTTTATTCCTGTAACTACTAAGTGCTGTATTTTGCTGAGTATAATGCGCACTCTTTGCCCAAATTTTTGAGAGGGAACAATAAGGGTGCGCATTATACATGGGTCTAATAATTCTATACCATGGGTACAATAATAGCCATAATCCCGTGTATAATGTGCACAAGACATGGGTGTGCATTATGCATGAGAGTGCATTGCTCATGGCAAAATATGGTATATAAAATTCTTAATTTTAGAACTTCTGAAAAAACATATCCAGGTGCCCACGGTTTCACTGCAGTCTTCCAAACATTTAAAGAATTAACATGAATTGTATACAATCTCTCCCAGAAACTAGAAGAGGAAGGCAACACTTCCCAACTTATTTTATGAGGTCTGCATTATCTCACAAAAACTCTAGACTGGTGTCTTTCATGAACAGAGTGGCAAAAATCTTAAAATATTATAAATACACCTTGCAACCAACTGGGGTTTATTCCAGGAATGCAAGACTGGCTTAATATTTGAAAATCAACCATTGTTACCCACCATTTTAACAGGTGTTAAGAAGAAAAAGAACATGGCTGTATCAATTGTTGTAAAAAGAATATTTGAAAAAATTTGAAATACTCGGGTCGGTAAAGTCCTCAGCAAACTAGGGCGAGAGTCACCTTTGATATTGCTGACCTTCTGTTGTACAAAAAATACAGCTCTGCCATTTCTTATTTTGTCATTATGAACGTATAATTGTCAAATTAGGACATATTTCATCCAAGACTTTTAGTACGTGGCCTCCATTTGTCTTCATATTCCAGATTCCACAAAAATGTTTTAACTACCTGTGCCTTAAAATCAAGTTAGTTTACATGAACCATTAAACATAACCATATAATTTAACCAAAAAATGGGGTGAATGCAGGTACGAAAATGCCTAAAACGTATATAGTTAAAGGGTCAGGAAAAAGCAAACGCACCAAGGAATCACTGTTCCATCAAAGGAAAGCTTTGCTAAAATGAGTTTTATTCCCCTAAATGCCTTCATTGTGTGAAGGTAACATAATACCCTCTGCAAGGACTCAGAAATGTGTCACTATCTTCTTGAAAATGCACACTGGGCCGTTAAGACATGAAGCACAATGGAGAGCTAGAAAAATGGTAGTTACAACTTAAAACGTGTCCCCTAACTCAGCAGGGCTGATGGGATTGTCCTCCAAGGAGAGGCCGACTCTGCAGTTCTTTCACATGCCTGTCTTCCTGAGCTCCTGTGCCTTACCCACACGTCAGGGAACGCTGTCTCAGGCCCTACTCTTTATCTTACGGTGGACGTGCAATGACTTGACATCAGTCACCTAACACTCATGCTGTTCTCTTTGGCACTTGACCGACATTGGCTTAACTCTTTACACCGTACCAACCAACTGAAGGGTGCCACATTTTGCCACTTTCAGTATCAATGAATTAACGATTTCCTGCATCTCTAAAGTTAAGAATCCTCCTCCCTAGTTAGATTGATCCCTAAAGCCCCAATTACTTTTAACCTATGAGGTGGAAAATCAAAGCACATAGAAGACAGCAAATAAACACATGAAATATGCTCATCACTGATCATTACAGAAATATAAAATAAACCACGAGGAGCTATGACTACATCCACTGGAGGATAAAATAGCCAAGGCCACAAGAAATTACAGCTGAAGTACCAATACCCTGGGCAAGGACTCAAGACCCTCGGAACCATTACATGTTGCTGATGGGTGTGTAGAGTGTGCACTCTACAGACTGGGAAATCAGTCTGGCAGTTTTCTGTAAAGTTAAACACACCATATGATACAACAATCCTTATCAGGCATTTACTGAAGAGAAATAAAAACATCTACACACAAGGCTTTGTACACACATGTTCATAGCAGCTTTATTTATGAGTAAAAAAAAACTGAAAATGTCTCAAAGTCCATCAACTGGTGGGCAAACAACTGGTATAACCATACAATGCAATACTACTAACATTAAAAAAGGTTCTAACTACTGATACATGCAACAACATAAGTATCTCAGAACCATTGTTTAGAGAAAGAAGTCAGACACAAGAGGCTACATATGACTCCATTTATTTTAAATTCTAGAAAAGGCAAAACACTAGTGACCAAAAGCAGATCAATGGTTGCCAATGGAGAGTTGGGGAGATGTGGGGGTGGGCAGGGGATTGACCATAAAGGGGAACAAGAAAAACTTTTAGGTGATGGGAATGTTTTATTATCGATTCTGGCAGTAGCGATTACATGACTTTCATACATTTGATGATACTCATAGACTTACACACTTAAATTGGCTAACTTGAATATATATATAAAATACCTTAACACTTAAAAAGAGCATGTAAATATATCAAAATGGGTAAAATGCTTGTTAAATTTCTAAATAGCCTATAATCAGAATGTATTGTTTTGAAATCAGAAAAATGACACAAACTATTAACATATAAATATGATTCTACTACATGATCGCTATTACTTAGAAATGTGTATGAACTCAGAGCTAAAAAGTGGAAGAAAAATTACCATACTTTGGGTAAGAGGGTACTAAAATAAATCCCTTCTAAAGCTTTTATTTTCTAACTTTTAGGGTGGACTTTGTTCTAAAAATGCAGTTCAGTAAGAGAAAATCACTTCCAATAATTGGTATAAATCAGTGATTTTCAACCGGTGTGCCGCAAAATTTTTTAAAACTCCTAATTACCTACTTAGTCGGGAGCACTGACATCTTTTCCCTTGGACTGTAAAGTTAAAAACAAAAACAAAAAAAAGACAACAGCAAACACAATAGCTGTCAATGTGAATGAATCAAAATTGTACCTGTTGTTTTTTTTTTTGTCAGTTGATTAAAAAGAGCATTTTTTTGGTGTGTGCAGAATTTTAATAGTTTACATGTGCCATGAAATGAAGAAGGCTGAAGATCGCTGGTATAAATAAATCTAGAGCTTTGCCCTAGTTAATGGGGTTGGAAGGTGTCACATGGACTCACTCTTCAGACACTTTTTAATGATTATGCAGTTTTTTGTTTACTTGTTAACCATCCCCCCCCCCCCCATAAGTTTCTGTTTCAGGGTTATTTAAGAATTATCCTTGGATCACTCAAAATGGTAACGCAAATAGATTTTCTTCTTTAATGCCTTATTCTTTTAACACTACCAAATGACAAATAGTTCTCAGACCTGCAATACATTTTCAACCCAGTTAACATGTTATTTTGTAAACAAGAGAACAAAAATAGCACCTTCAAATAAAACTTCCTTCCTGATTAGCTGCAGAGAAGACAGAAATTGAGGGTGATAACCACTTAAATCTCTTTAAATAGCTCACCTATTACATTCATCAGGAACATTTTCCTCATTTATAAGACGACTAAATACTGGTTTGCAAACATGGGTCTAATTAACTAGTATTCTTTTCAAAAGAAATTTTTAAAAATGCTTTCTGCCAAGACCATTTTGGCCAACTATGTATAGTAAAAGGCAAAACAAACAAACAAACAAACAAACAAAAAAACGCAAAAAAACAAAAACCAGTCACACTCTTTAGAACAAGGACCAAATGGTTACCTCATCTCAAGTTCAGGGGCAAAACTAACAACGTGCTACAATATTGTGACATAACTCAGTGTAAGAATTCAGTGAGACACGTCACTTTTGAGAGACTTGCCAAGAGAATGGACTTAGGACACACAGGACATTCAAAACCTTGGAAGGCAATGGTAGGGTGACACACGTTCCCAGAAATGGATAAGTATCTGAACCACCGATGTTAACAGGTCATTATGGCATTATCGATACATCCCAGTCATTGTAAGATACTCTTTTCCTTTGGTTTCTCTGCATTGTTTGGAAGGCACAATCAAATTTGTAGCTTTTAGGGTATAGCAGGTTGGTCTTGTTATGTTTCTTTTTCCAGTATGTCCAGTACTTTGTCTTTTATCAAACATATGGATCAAACTGTTAAATCACAAAACGGACAGTAGAAAACGCACCGCAGACAGTGCTCAGTGATGAAAGGTCCGTGCATATAGGACAGGCAGTTTGGATAATTCAGCAGTTCAGCATTATCAGGGACTGATGATTTTCACCATCATCCCACTGAGCTAACCTTAATGACCATAAAATGGCGAGAGCAGTTCTGATTCAGACAAGACAGTCTCCGAAGAAGGAGAGAATTTCCTCTTCTGTTAGTGGAGAAAATCTTTCTCAGATGCCCATCTTTCTCAAATGCCCCTGGCAGATCTCTTTTCAGTTGCCATTGGCCAGGATAAGTTCCCACAGTCATGCCTTACCAGTTTCCTTATATGGGGAGTAAGACCACGCAAGGACCAACTTCCTTGGGTACAAGGCTGCACAGAGCCGGGGAGCACTTGAACAAGCAAGAAGGGAGGGACAAGACGGTGCTGGATAATAACCAGTATCCATCACAACCAGATAGGGCCGAACACACACAGTACACGTCACACTAACTTCCACTGGCCGAGAGGGTAAAAAAAGAGCACTCAGAGTACTAAGGATAGTATAATATAATGGACTATTATTAAAAAAATATTTCAGGGACAAATAATACCTAAGATTCAGTGGGTATACTCTACATGCCAGGCACTGGTCTATGCCCTTTGTGTACGTTAATATATTTAGTCCTTACAACTGTTACCTGTATTTTACAGATAAAGAAAACAGAGGCAAAGTAACATGCCCAAAACGTCTAGTGAGTGAGAGCTGAAATCTGAATTAGGTAGTCAGACTCCAGACTCACGTTCTCAATTGCTACATTATGCTGCCCAACACGATGTAAAACGGGAATGGATATATTCTAAGATGATTTTTTTAAAAAACCAAATAAACCAACGGAGCGATAGAGATGTAGAAACCAAGCCAAAAAGTTAGCTGAGATTTACACACTGTACATTTTATTAAATACTGGGTTTTACTAGAACAAATGAACTTCTGATAGAAGTTTCATTTAAAAAATGTGGCTCTGTTCAAATTCCTACTTGACACTGCTTTTTGCCTAAGTATTCTACTTTTACTGGTTCTTTACTCAGTCATTATGGGCAGAAAAATTAATTTCTTATAACAAAACAAAGGAATTTCTCAAGTGGTACGACACTCAATCCGTATAACAGAAATACTCCCCAAGTGTGGACAGGACCACAACAGAGTATATGATCAGAGAACACATTGCTTTTCACGGTATATTTGTAATAGCTACAGGTAACACTGCTAACTCATGCACAGTAAGTCTTTACTACCTACTGAAGGTCTCTGCCTTACACACGAAAATTATTCATGTCCCAGGGTTTGGCATTTAGCTAAAAATTAAGCTATGCTGGAAAATGTCTGTCAAACGGGCTTTCAGACCACCACAGAAAAGCTGTCAGCTATAATATCCATCCTGGAATCGTGGCGGCAAGTTCCTGGGAGTGGCTTTTTCCTGTGTTTTGATCAAGTCTATGATGGCTGAGAGGACTGCACAGTCTCTGGATTTCGTGTCCTTCCAGTCAACAGGATGGGGACTTTCGATCTTCTCTTGCAGAAGGGTATCTAATTCCTTCCTTAATTCCTAAGGTTGGAAAAATTACACAAGTTCAACAAAGACAGATGTACAATAAAACAATGTCATAAATAAAAGTGGCTGGCTGAAACAAGGAACTTCATAAGCTACGATACAAAAGACTGAAATATTTAGTAAATATACAGTAAAATTTAAAAATGCAAACTTTGATCTCAAGACTTGTACAATGGTTGGTCTGTAAGTACCTCAAAACACAGTTTGGAAAAACTATGAATAAACTTCTCAGCACTATTTGCTCTGCTGAAAAATATCAAGAAATATTTACAAAACATGGAATACCTAGATCAAAACCACAGACAATCATTTAAAATCAGTCACCTTAACAAGATGGGCAATTCTGGCTGGAGACTGAAAGACAATCCACTCATCAACAGCAATAGTTTCCTGATCATTATCCTTCTGGATGGAAATATCGCCTCCAAAGAACAAGAGACAGTATGGGGAAACTTCTGTGCAGTCATACAAGTATATCTATAATGAGAATTAAAGCAAGTTAATACATAAAGGGTCTGAAATTATTGCCACATTAATTCACTAATATCACCAGAATCAATTTATTAGTATTAACCCTTCTACAATAGGTTTTAGCCTATTTAGTGTAATTACAAAGACTAATTTTGAATACCTTTGAAATGAACCATTCTTTATTAATTCAGAGAACACAGGACCTTTATACTTTTGTTTCAACTCAAATAATAGTATTATTCTTTAAACAAAATATTTTCTGAATGACACAACAAAACACTTATGTAGCTGAAATTATTTTTATAGATATATTAACAGAATCCCACTTAATATTCTGACCAATCTATAAGGTCTACTGATGCCAACAAAATTTTCTGTGCAGTGTAAAGTCCTGTATACCAAAAACTCCAGTATTTCCTGAACACATGCTATGAAAGAAAATTATGCAAACTGAGTAACTTCCAATTAAAATACAAAAATGGATCATGACAGACCTACACATTAAAAGTAGAGGTTATTTGCTTAAGGAAGTTATAATTCAGGTCAAACTTTTTTAAAGAACAAATTTTATTTATAATTATAAAAATTATGGAATTTAAAAAATACACTGATATTCAGATCCATGAAATATTTACTTACACTACTTGTTCTCATCTTTAGGTGATAGATAAGCCAGTTATAGTGAAAATCTGTTTGCTCCACATTAACAGACTTAGGGTGAATAGCAACCAGTCCATCAGTTTTTGTGTAAACTTTCAACCTTTAAAAAAGTTAAAATGTAGTTGTTAAAAAAAAAATCCTGGAAGATTCCAAGCCAATCTCAGAATTTAAAAAAGCCCCACAGATAAGTTCAGTTTATTTCTGCAATATAAATTTACAAATTTATATTTGAGGAAATAATTTATTTTAATAAAACACAGAAACTTATCAGCTAACTGTGAATACATCAAATCTTCCTTTTGAAGGTATAAATTACTCAAGACATTAGAAAGGTGACAGAGTATTCCTTAATTATGCTTCTATTATACAGCTGAAAGACAAAGAATGTAATAAGCAGCTAAAATAGTTCAAAGTGATTCAGACCAACAGTCTATACATAATACCGTCAATAATACTACTAATAGCCCTCAATTTAAATAACTTCATGAAATGATTAAAAATTTCACAGGTTATACACCCACAGGAATATAAAATAAAAAATTACAAATGTTGTTTAGAAGGGTTTAGCTACTACTGACTTTTAAAACCCTAAAATATATTTAAATGGTCCCACATTCGCTCAAATGCCCCATTTTCATAACAGGGATACTTGGAAAAGTGTACTCTGGCACAGGTCTACTTCAGTCTCTTCATTCCCAGGGTTCTTTTGTCAACCATAAAATTTTTATATCAATTTCAAAGGGTTTTTTAATTTTCAACAGGGAGATGTTTGGTGGTTTATTTTTAAGCAGTCAATGGTAATTACCTGCATTAGATGACATAAAAGCTGATAATCCATTGATCCTTCCTACTTTTTTTCAGATGTTAGTTTTATTTTTTTATTTTTCAATTATAGTCTTCTTTCGATAGTATTTTGTATTGGTTTCAGGTATGCAGCTTAGTGGTTAGGCAATCATATACTTTACACAGTGCTCCCCTCAGTATTTCCAGAGCCACCCGGCACCGGAGTTAGTGCAGTATTCCTGGCTATTTCCCCTGCGCGGTGCTCGACGCCCCTGCGACGGCCGATCCGACGGCCGATCCGACGGCCGATCCGACGGCCGAGCCGACCGCGCTTCTTTCATCCTGTCGCCTTTCCACCCAGTCCCCCAAATGCCCCTCATCTCTGGCAACTACCAGCCCAGTCTACTCTCTGTGTCTAGGAGTCTGTTTCAATATTCTTTATTCATTTATTTTGTTCTTTAGATCCCACACATAAGTGAAATCACATGAAAGTATCTTTTCTGTGCTTCTAGGAATTCATAATACTTCTATCAAAATCATAGTCACTAGTCACATTATTCAGAATAAAACCAAAATTATTTTTCCTCACTGCACAGTCAATTTAACCAATGCCACCCTGTAACCCTACTTTACTACAGGAACAGAGTGTGGCAGACTTTTCCCGGACAGGCACAGAGAGAAAATATTTCAGGCTCTGTGGGCCCCAGGATCTTTACTGCAACTACTCAAGTCTTCTAGGGGAGCAGAGAAGCCTGCAAACACAGACAACATGTAAACAAACAGGCATGGCTGTGTTCCAATAAAACATTCACAAAAACAACATTCTGGCCAGGATGCCAAAAACCGCTGACCCCCGCGCCCTAGACCAAAATGAAGCCCTAATCCAAACAGATGCTTTTGTTTTCATAAACCTTCCAAGGATGGCAGAGGGATATATAGAATATTTGTAGTTAAAAGAATTTCTCTGATATGATACCTGTCAAGTTAGGGATATGTATGAAGAATGTGACAAAGTACTGATGCCAAAAAGTACTTGATCACTAAAACTGTGTATAATCTAGCCACAATGATTAAAATTCAAGTACCCATCATCTTTACACCTGAGAATGGGGTTTCTGACCATCAGCATTTTTGACATATTGAATTCTTTGTTGTGGGGGCCTGCCCTCTGTATTGTGGAATGCTTAATAAGCACCCTTGGCTTCAATCTATTAGTAACCATGGCAGTTGTAACAACCACGAATGTCTCCAGACACTGTCAAATCTCCCAAGGGGTAAAATCAAACTCAGTTGAGAACCAATGCCCCTGGAACAATGCCTGTGCTTTATCTTTGAGGTTATTTTTTACGTTCATAATCATAAGGTATACAGCTTTTTCATTTAATATTTCAAATATTTTACATGTTACTACACAATGGCTGTCTTATATGCCCACCTAACATAAAAGTCATATAATATGGTGGTGTAAAACCTTAATTTGCCCATTACTACTGAGTAACTCTCGAGACAAAATGCAAAATCATGTTTTATAAGAGGAAAAAATCCTGAAGCAAAATCTCTTCTAAACAATGTTCATCTGGCACTGTTTTTCTTTCCTTTTAAGGCATTTAAAAAGTTTTGCATTTATTAAAGTTTAAGATGCTGTCTTACACAGAGTTTGATATAATATAACTACAAATAACCACCACTCACATCAGATCACTGAACTTTCGGGGTGATTTTAATACCTGGCTTCCTTTTCTCATGTCCACACTGTTGTATTTACTAACATTCTTTGTGAATAATGGGTAGTAGAGAGCTGAGGCCAGGGATATGCTGGGAGGGAAGCGATGCCTCTGGTAACAGTTTGCCTTCTCTTGAATGAGCGAAAGTAAAAAGGACAAGAATATGGCCCTGGTATGAATAAGAACAAATGTACAATACAAGCTCTGTTGCATTATAGGATTTCCAAAGTTTCAGGAGAGGATTACAAGTAATTCATAATAATCTTCAATGCTTACATTTTTCTTTTTTTACCCAAATTTAGTCGTATTTTAGCAACTTTGGGATATAAACCAGCACAGATGACAGCTTTAATTATCTTCTCATTATCTATTAGGGGTGGGAAGGTAGAGAAAAAAGAGTAAAATACTGATACAATGGACAACAGCAGCAAGTTGTTTACACTGTGTTTTCTGCTTTACCTGAATTTATATTAGATTTCGGATCTTTGGGATTTCTACTGCTTACAAATCCAGCTCCAAGAAGATGCTCAGCAAACTGCCCTTTCATGTTATGCAGCATCTAGAGGGCAACAGTAACAAACAGAACTAGAAAACTTTCCACAGATTTATGGGGGTTATAAGGCATATACTCATAAATAAGTTTAGTTATAAGATTTGCTGCTTTATAAAATACTTTTGCATAAGTGTGATGTTTCAGAGGATGCAAACTACAAAATTTATAAAAACCTGTTTTTGTCAATAATGTATAGTTGGAACACAGCCACATCCATTCATCTACATACCACGTATGGCTGCTCCGCACTGTAATGGCAGAGGTGAGTGGTTGCAACAGAGGCACCATATGGCCAATAAGGCTGAAAGAGTTATCATCTGATCTTTTACAGAAAAGGTTTGCCTATGGTAGGAAATAACCACTGATGTTTAAGGATTACTCCATTTTAGAGAAGGCTAGTATCTTCGAAATTGCTCTCCACCCCGTATTTTTTTAAAAAAGATTTTATTTACTTATTTTTAGAGAGATGGGAAGGGAGGGAGAGAGAGGTAGAGAAACATGGATGTGTGAGAGATGCACCAACTGGCTGCCTCTTGCACACCCCTAATCGAGGACCTGGCGTGCAACCCAGGCGTGTGCCCTGAGTGGGACTCAAACCAGCAACCCTTCGTTTTGCAGGCTGGTGCTCAATCCACTGAGCCATACCAGCCAGGGCACCCTGTATTTTTAAAGAAATACAGAAAAAGTACAAAGAAAATAACCAACATCCATCCATGTTTCTACTACTGAAAATTAACTACTGTTGCTTATTGGCACAAAAACTTCAGAGTATTTTTTTATTTTTGAGAAAAATCACTATTTGGATAAAAATGATGCATGGCTCACTATAAAGCATTCAAGTAATACTGAAAAGTACAAATGAAGAAACTTCCCTAAACTCAATATGGTCAGAAGAATTATTTACTAAGAAATAATACTGCAGGCACTTATGTATATACAGACAGAAGAATTAAGACAGAAATGTGACCCCAACAGTGGGATAACCGTATAGAAGCTACTTTTTAAAAAAATTTAATTCTAGTTCAATGTTCAGTATTTAAGTGTGTCTCCCTTTTATAGATTGTGCGTGATTTGAGTTTCCCCACCTAATTTATCTTATAACTGACTTTCTGGGTTACCTCCTGGTTTTCATTACCATTTTTTATTGTTCAGGGTAATAACCTTTATATTCTCTTCTGCATTGGTAATTCATGTGTTATACTCACTGTGTGTTTAAATAATTTCAGTGGACATCACCAGTTGATTTAACATGCACTCTCTATCCCTGAATTTTTTCATTTATCTCTTAATAGGCAGCATTTCGCTGTCAGTGAATTTTACAAGAACAGCTCCTGGGTGCAGTATTTTAAGTGCCTTCTTGAATGCCCATCCTTTGTCTTTATATTTTAATATCTTGACTGGATATAGTATTTTCAAGTAACACTTGATTCAACCACATTCTGGTACCTGTGGTTCTTTTCTTTTTTCTTTTTTCCAGGAAAATGTTTTTTACACATCTCTTGGATACATATTTAAATCACACTTGAATTTACACATCTCTCAAATACATATTTAAATCACACTTGAATAGGAATAGTATGATACCTATCATCTTCATGATGAATCAGTCCTTATCTTCCTGCTGACAAGCTTTTCACTTATTGTTTTAATGTCTTCCTTTTGCACCTGCATCTATAAACTGTGATTATTTTAACCTTTCCTCTATGGCAATAACTTGCTTTTAAGGGGTGTCCTTTTTGTTCCTCATAGTTCTTTTGGTCTTTTTCTTAGCCCAGCAGTCTTTCCGTTCATACTATTGGTTTATTTTCTTACTGCTGTTTTACTGAATTCATATTCTTACACTGTTCTTTACTCTGAAGCAGTTGTAAGGTACTTTCTATTGAGATATATTGTGTTCCATTCCTTCTGTCCTTTGAATGTAGTGTCTTCTAGAGCTGCATGGTTCTTCTTTTATTTTCATTTTGTTAATGCCTGGGAACTTTTGATTGAATAGGCTTGATTCCTGACTCTTTTACCCCCTTGTAGGTTTGTTTAATGCCCTGGACACAGAGGTGGAGCGTACACTTAACAGGGAAAGGTAAGGACATTCCTATTCTTACTGGCCTGCTATCACTTCTCCATTCAGTGCATGTGCCCTATTTATTAACTTTCTTCTGTTTCACAAATTCTCCTGTCCAGTGTTCTTTTACTACACTAAATCAGTTAAAGAAACCTACCTAAAAGTTAAAAATACTCACTCTATTATATTATATATCTTGTTGCAGTTGATTTAATAAAAATTTTGAATGAGTCAGCTTCATTAGACAAATTCACGCAAGTAACCTTTTGCTACTGATCTAACCACACAAAATGCATACATGTGGTTCCCTAATCACACAGGTATGAGAATTACTCCAAAACATTCACCATTACCTGCAACGTATTTGAAGACAGAAAATACTCCCAGCAATAGTCTTTTTCATATCTGAAACCACGTCGTCTAGCTTCTTCCCATCCCTATGGGGCAAAAAAATGAAGAAAGCCATTTATAGTATTCCCCAAAGCAAAGACCAACTACTTTTCTGTCTTCATTTTTTATTAACGGAGACCTTCTCTCATGAAATGTCAATGACAGATATTAAGTGAGTATCAAACAAATTTTTAAATTGTTCATTTAATTGTTATCAAAACAGAAACACAGACTTCTTTTCCAAAAGTGTAAAAATCTTAAAAGCTATAAGAAAACTTAGTAAGATTAAAATTTTTTTCAAATGGTCAACTAATTTTAAACATTCTCACTTAGCAATTTATTCCTAATACCGATGATAATACAGACTGTAAAAAGTTATTATGTTCCTATTCTATTATCAGCTTTTCACTTAAATAAAATGTCACAAGTTTTTTTTTTTTTTTACCTCAAATGCATTCACAACTGTCAGGTGGTCACTTTTAGAATCCTTTGCCAATTCCTTTCTTCTTGCATCTGCGACCTTTTCTTTCCCCTTAAAAAATACAGACCAAGGCAATTTAAGTGGCTCTGACACTTTCTATTACAACATTCTAATAATAAGCCAACGAAAAAGTGTATCTAAGCAGCAAGTATCACGTGTACATAAAAATGCCTATCCTTTGTTTTGTCCTTCTTACCAATGGGATCACAAAGGGATCCTTGAAGCTGAGACTCGCAGCGATGGTAAGTACTGGGTCTAAACAACAGAACAGAGCCCCAAAAAGAATCATCTTTCCAATGTGTGGCTCAACTGGTAATCGTGCTAAATGGACTCCAAGAGGTGTCAATTCTTCTTGTTTATCCAGAGCATTCTGTAAAGTAAGGGTTTATGTTTAAAACAGACATTATAAAGCATCACAATTAAATCTAATTTTAGTTTGCTTAGGAAAAAAAAAAGCCACTCCTCACTATCTTAAGCCCAAATACCCTAGTACTGTTCTGTCACGATCAGGGTTATTTATCTTTGGGACTGAGATGTGGCGAAATGATTTGGAAAGGATAAGAGGTAGGCTTTAGGTTAGGATACTGGGTATGTTCTTATTTCTCGACATGAGTAATTATTACACAGTGCTCACTCTGTGGTAAATCATTGACCTGGACATTTTTGTTTTGCTCTCTTATCCTGTATGGGAATGCTGTAATTCACAGTAATTTTTAAAATGTGGGCTCCAGCTCCTACTATGGGCAAAGATTTGCTGGCCTTTTTAAGATTCTGTTGCCTGCGAATGATGGCCTTTTCAAAATTTTGTTGCCTGAGAATGATTATGTAAAGACCGACACTTAGCCCTGGCTGGTACGGCTCAGTGGACTGAGCACCAGCCTGCAAACCAAAGAGTTGTGGGTTTGATTCCCAGTCAGGGCACATGCCTGGGTTAAAGGTCAGGTCCCCAGCAGGGGGTGCTTAAGAGGCAACCATTGATGCTTCTCTCTCTCTCTCTCTCTCTCTCACTCCCTTCTGACTTTCCTTCTGACTAAAAATAAAATAAATTAAAAAATCATTTTAAAAGAAAAGACCGACTCTTTAAATTCAGTTGGGAGAGGAGACATCATCCTGTTCAGGCTTTACAGTCTTCTGGTTGCCCATCTCTACCATAAATAATATTCTCTGAGCACCACGCAACTCTCCATAGCTCTATTCTATTAGATAAAAGCCTGAAGGGGGGAGAGGTCTCTAGTAGAGCTGTATTGCTTCCTACGTACCAGTGACCTCACTAAACCTAATCTACATTCCAACAAAGAAGGTTAGATAATAATACAATGAGTTTTTACTTAAACAACTTATTACTCATGTTAAAATCTACTGCAATGTTCTGATATGGGCCAAATTCTCAAAATAATCTGCATGGATGACTCAAAACTGAAATATGTAGAATATACTTTGGCATGCTCTAACCCAGCACTAATGAACGGAACTTGTAGCGATGACAGAAATGTTCTATTTCTATAACGTAGTAGTGGCTACTACACTGGATAGCACAGCTCTAACCTCTTTCTCTCCACTCTGGACACTAACTCACAGCTAGTTCTGTGCTTCTCAACATGGTCTTGTACAGGGATGGCTACCAAGGGGTCACTTGACTAAGACACTGAAACTAGTTTCTCAAAACACTGCCTTCATAAAAAGAAACTAAGGAAAGAAAGCTGTAAGAATAAAATGACACATAGGGGAGTATGGTATTTTGAAGAAAAGTCATCTGTTAGTATTCCTTCAACAACACAAGAGTTGCCTTTATAAAATATTCATTCAAAGATTTCAAAATTGTATGTCATTTTAAATCAAGTGTACAGTGAAAAATATTGTGTGACAAGGACCCAGTTTTATAAGGACATAATGAAGGTTTCATTTTATAACTTTCTAATTCGTAATTCATACACTAAGGCGAACAGCCAAGTTGCATATAAAATTTGGAACTGTGCACTCACTGGTCTAGCTTACAGTAACTACAGTAAGTATTACTTAGCTGGCTTACATGCTCTAACACTCCATATCTAAGTTAAAATTAAAAAAGAAAAATCAAGTTCACCAGTTCCATCAGGTGCTTTATGGAGAGTGACACCGCTTCATTTGATGGTGGATCCATTAACCTACTCAGAAAATGAGCGATTCCGCCAAGCCTTAAGATCTGGGGAAGACACATGTGATTAAACAGATATCATATATTGACGTAACCATTTAGTCCTGCCTGTCACTCACTAGAGTGAAGCATCAAACCTATACATGATCTTCAAGTTAGTTATCTTACTACACTAAATCAGGTAAAGAAACCTACCTGAAAGTTAAAAATACTCACTCTATTTGATATTAAAAATACATTTTAGGAGTATTAGTGACAATGTTCTCTTACTAGAGTAAGTTAAAATTACATTTGTGACTCTATGAAAACATTATTTAAAGGCTGATATACTACTTTCTATCATCCACCAAGTCTTATTAATGAGAAAAGAAGTTGGTTAAAATCTCAACAAACAAATCAATTACAAATTATATAAAATACAAAAAAAAAAAAGGTAAGTACCTTTATAAAGAGGGATAAAATTCTTAAGATGTAGTAATAGCTCTTTGGGTAGAGCATTGGCATTTAAACCAAAAGGTCACGAGTTCAATTCCCAGTCAGGGTACATGCCTAGGTTGCAAGTTTGATCCCTGCTCAAGGTGTGTACCAAAGGCAACTGATCAATGTTTCTCTTTCACATCGATATTTTTCTCCCTTTCTCCCCCACCCTTCCCCTCTCTCTAAATTCTAAGCGTGTCACTGAGGATTAAAAAAAAAAAAAGAAAAAGATGTAATAACGGTAGCTAATATTTACTCAACACTTTATGTGTCAGTAAGAAACCTGTATGAGTTTAACTTAAGTAACTTGTCCAATGTACCAAAAGTAGCTTGTCTGGGGAGGTGGCGGGCTTCAAACACAGGCAACCTGGCTTCAGAGCAGTATATGATTAAATACTTTTAAATAAGCATTTGAAGAAAGTTTAGAAACATAGTTTACTAACACACATAGAAAACAAACGCACAGTAAACATTAGAACTCCACCCCCATTTAATTTTTTAACCACCTCACTAATTTACCTTTATTTGTAAACAAAGTTCTTCCAGAGGAGTTCTCAAGATCTCTGGCAGTTGATAGTCATCTAGAAGGCTTGCTCGAAGACCATTATACAGGTGATAGCAATGGCCAGGCTGAACTCTTAAAAAAAAAAAAAAAAAAAAAAAAAATGGGCAGGAAGGAGGCATTTATCAGTGACTTTTTAGAACTTCAGAGAGAAGAGGCAGGGACAGTAGTCAATATCTACTTATAAGCCACATCGTAACTAATTTACTCAATTATTACTTCACTTTTATTAATTATATATTCCTTTTCCCCATCTGTTTTGAATAGCCTTAAATCCACTATCCGTATGTCCTACTTTTAAGAACTAAAAGACTTCCTCCCCCATCAATAATCAGCTTTCCTATTTCTATCTTACAGAATCCAGGCTGCTGTGCTCTATAACAGCAGTCTACTTAGATGAATCTCTATATGCCTTGTGAACATTTTACCTAACAATTCTTGACATTACGTTAACCTGTCTTATATTATTTAAAATGCGTTTATGCCCTGCATGGTGTGGCTCAGTGGATTGACTGCTGGCCTGCAAACCAAAGGGTCATTCGTTCGATTCCCAGTCAGGGCACACGCCTGAGCTGTGGGCCAGGTCCCTGATGGGGGGCACACATGAGAGGCAATCACACGTTAATGTTTCTCTCCCTTTTTTCCTCCCTTCCTTCCCCTTTAAAATCTTAAAAAATAAAATGCTTTTAGGTATGTGTTATTTAATGAGCTTGCAGAATAATGTTGGAAATTTTTTTTCCTTCACGGTTTGCTTCTAATGACATGAATGATATTATTTTTTGGATAATATTAAGGACAGATGTGAGAATATACGTTTCATATATTTTGAAGAAAAACAAGTATCTTTATGGGCTCTTGCTGCTATATCAAGAGGATGTCCTTTTCCCATATGAATAAAAATAAAATCTAAAATTCTTAGCTATTTCTGTCACAAGTTTACAAAAATCCATCATCTGTTACGTACGTCTGCAGAAACTAAGAGTGCTTCCACTGAGGACCACATAATATAGTTTGCTCTGACCTTCAAAATAATTATCAAGCTAATTAGGCTTTGCTAAAGGAATTTACATCTTTGGCGCTGACCAGGGGCTATTTTCCATTTCAATTAAAACACTGTAATTCCACTTAACCTCCACTAGGATAGTGGGGATGAAGAGTTAGATAAAATGTAATACTTCATTTACTTGATTTTCATAATTGTTTCAAGAATCAAACCTGAGACCTAGCATGTGTACTATTCATATATAAAAGTGTGCCAAAACCCATTCACTATGATGAATATTTTTAAAATCAGTACCCAGGAGTGATAAATCTGCATGGGAAAACCCCAGTCTTGGGAGGCCCCCAAACCATGCTATCCCCTAGGAACTGATGGGAAAGGTACAATTCTTAGACTAAGTCATGACTTTGGCTCAACAGCATCGATTGCATAATATAATAAACTACCTGGAAGCCAAGTTATACTGGGATAATCTGCAGAGATTACAGCAATTATGTCAGAGCTTTATAGACATATTACAAATTTAGATAAAATGGTCTGTAAAATTTTCTTTCAACTTTTCTTTCCTTACTGAAGCCAGTATCTGAAGCCTAAGGGAAGTCTTTTGAGTCTACCTATAAAACAAAGAAACAAATAAACAAAAAACACCTATTTTTCTACAACTCCAGATATGATTCTACCACTCACATGAATAAGGATATAAAAATACTGTGAGAAAATGCATGAAAACGGACAGTAAGCGCAATTATTTTCCTACCATTAAGAGAGAAATTTTTATTTCTTACACTACCATTTCCAGCAATGGAAAAAAGGTACTTTCCTTCTGTTTTTGTTGGTAACTGATGGTAACAAACCAGCACAGATGTGCATTACAGGAATTAGGAGCCCAGCCTGTGGAACCAGACTGCCTAGATTCAAGTCCTGCTACTTATAAAGCTGTGTGACTTTAAACAGATTATTTAATTTCTTTGTACCTTAATTTCCCTACCCTTAAAATAGAGATAATAACCTAACCACACAGCACTGTGCTGAGAATTAGGCAAGTTAACTTATATAAAGTGATTAGGAAATGACCTGACAATCAAATAGTATTAGTATTTATTATTAGTAATATGTGCTTTAAAAAAAAGAAAATTATAGGTAGTATAAGAAAAAAACATTAATTGAAATTAACTGAATTAAAGAGTAAGAAGTAGAAGAATCATAAAAAAGAATTCTAAAGAAACTATAATTAAAAGATTTTTTTCATTTAAACACGTGCTACGTTTTAAAAACTAAGAAAGGTATAACTCTTCTAAATAACATTTTTAAACGCCAGAACACATTCTGCTACATAAACCTTTTGTGTGTTTTTTAAAGGCTTCAGACAAGGTCCCACCTTACCTTCCAGCTCGACCTTTCCTTTGTTTGGCATTAGCTTTACTGACCCACTCAGCAGACATTGTGCTGATGTTGTTCTGGGTGTCAAAGTGTGTCTCCTTTATTTTTCCTCCATCTATCACGTAAACTACATCATCTATGGTTATGCTGTTTGGAAATATATAAAATATTAAAAACGTATCAAAAGAGCATTAATCTAAGACAAGTGTACAGGTAGGCATTTATAGAACATTTCTATGGATCAACTGATTTTGCAGCTCGCAGACGCGTGTTAGAGCCTTGCTTGTCTGCAGCCAAACTTCATAGCTCACCTGTGACTTCTGTACCTAGCTTTTCTGCCCCCTACTCCAGTGCCACAGTTTAGTATCAGCTTTCACAGAACAATCTGTTTCACCACTGTACTGGTAAAATGTGTTGTACTTCCAAGAGAGTACAACACATTTTAAAGGCTGTACATACCTAACTGCCAAATTACCAAACAATTCCATCCCCTACCAGGAAAAAAGGCACATAGGACAAAACTGGTATCAGCTCCCATGATTTTTTAGGGAAACTGAAAAAACCACTTAAAAGGCTGTTTCTGAAGAAGGCTAAAACATCAGCATAGGTTAAATAAAATTTTTAAAAAACTACACAAACCTATGCCACTACCATAATTAAATTGAAACAGATTTACTTTTGAGAAATTATAACGTACTTTGTAGAGAAAGAAGATTAAGATATGTTAATAATTTATGGGGCTCAAAACTACTATAATCACCAGCAGCTGATATTTAAAACAATTTTTACCTAGTCTCTGCAATGTTCGTAGCAATTACTATTTTCCGAACACCAGGAGGGGTTCTTTTAAATACCTGTAAGAATAAATACATCAAAACTCCAAAAATACACTATTTTCTGATACATCTCACTCTTTCAATTAGAAGAATTACTTCAGATACTATTCATTTTTAGCATTGTGTTTATTTGCTGACATACATGTTCATCTAACATTTACAAATGTATTTGTAAGGTATACATTACTTTCAATACCAAAAATCAAACTGAACCTCCCACAGATGTCAAAACCTCATCACAAACAAGATTTTAAATGAAATATAATAATTTATAGAATGTTTTTATTTTTAAACAAAACTGGAGAGTCAAACATCTTATTGTGTGGTCAAACTTTTAAAGGAGAGAAACTTCATGCAAGGATATGAATTATGAACTACCCAAAACTATATGGGTAAGAACACCAAACAACCAGGCAGACACCCAGCTCATGAGAATAAATTTTAATTGGCTGTACCACCTTATACTACCTTTTGAGATTAGCCTAGATTTTTAAAAAGTCCACTTTAAATGCTGAATCCTTCAAACAACGCAGCCCTGTGACAAAGCTACCCAAGTAGATGAAACGACATGCAACGTAGCCAAGCACCACTTGGCTCTGAAGCAAAAAAAAAATGCATAAACTTATCCCTATATGTATAACAGTGGTCATCGATAGAAAAAATATTGTTTCCCAGTCTAGTCACATATTCTCTAGCAAAGGAATAGAAACTTGACTGTTCGGGCATCAGACACTGAAAATGCCTCCATATCGAATACTCTGCTATCCAGTCTTTGGAATCAAGAGTTCTCTTCTCCTCTTCTCTTACCTCAGGCATGCACTCTGTATCTAATTCTGTATCTAATCCTAAATCTTCCACAGGTCTAAGGTATTGGCAGAAAGCATATTAAAAGTCTCAATTAAAAAAAAAAAAGTCTTGATATTTTTTGACAAAGTGTGAAAAAACTAGATGGGAAGAAAGGTAGATTTTCTCATCCATCTCATTCCACCAGACCCCAGAAACACTGCAATCCAGAAAATATCTTGCCTTTGAGAATGCAGTGTTCATTCTAAGTAAGGAAATCTCTGGATCTGCCTGAGCCAAAATATTCAAAACTGTAACAATACATTTTTGACAAAACAGGAAATCTCACACTACAAATATTCTAATGCCCTAAATAAAATTTCAAATATCAAGCTGTAGTATGTCATAGATATTTAATTTCTAGGTCGAGTTATTTTTATTGGTACTCACATACCCTTTTTCTTTTATTCAGAAAAGCCAAACAAGTTAGTGGTGAAAACAATCTTTAAACTTTTCCTTAATGTTGACAAACTAATCTGATTTGTGGATTATCCTCTCTTGTTCACGTTTTTTGTAAAAATCATCCCCTGAAGACTCATTTGCAAGGTTCTCAAAGAAGTATTTTTTACATGGATAACTATTTGAAAATATGCCTTAAAAATAAATAAATAAATAAATAAATAAAACACTATAAGCAGCCCTTTAAGCTTGCCTCACTTTGAAAGACAATGAATAAATTTAACAGCATACCTGTGTCTGGTTAACTGTAGGCATCAGTGAATGTAAAGGTATAATAAGAAACTTGTCTGAAAATTAAAAAGAAAATTTAAGATAGTTGCAGAAAAGCTCCATCATACATACATGGAACATAATTTTAAGAAATTATAGTCATACATTTTAAGTTTCAAAATGAAATCACTCAAGCCCATTCACGATTATTAGCTTAATAGAAAGTTTGGTATAGTACAGTGACAGGAAGGAGGGTGAGTGTTAAAGCAGAGGTAAATTTCACATTTAGCTGTGGTTCCAAAAAAAAATGCAATTCTGGCTTAAATTTCTAGCAAGTGTCCAAATGACTCAAAATAGCGAAATTACCCTCAAAAAAGAACTGTTGTTATTCACAAGATATGAGGCTCCCCACAGATTCTGACTCTCTGATCTTAGAAAGTACTAAATGCTACCAAATAATTGGTATTGCTGAACAATGCTCAATAACGTCTCTGTGACATGATATGAAATACACCAACTCGATCAAAAGTCAAACCGCAAATACTTAACTCAGATTGAATCAAGCCTTCAGACATAACTTCCTGTTCATAGAAAATTCAGGTAAAAAAGGATCAAATAAAATTATACCATGAAGATTCAGACAAATCCAGAAAGTTAACCTAATTTTTTCTGTTAGTCATCACCCTGGGAAAAATAAGGACTGAATGGGAGTGATGTTCCAGAACTGGAGCCAAGGATGATCTGGTCTGACTTTTCTGTAGTTGAACAAGCTAGCTGAGAAAGGCTTTTGGGAGCAAAATGGGGAAAACCTGAGTATGGACTGGATTACTAATTGATGTTAATGATCATGTATGGTAATGGCATTGTGGTTATATAAGAAATTGTCTTTATTTTTTAGAGATGCATGTTTATATATTTAGAGATAACATGTAATAGCTACAACTCAAAGAAACAAAACATTAGACCACTTTTGGAATTGCAGTAAAATACATTTCTGTAATACCTGATTTAAACATCACTTGTGACATCAAGAGATCATGTAAAGTGCTGATATTGTCCCAGCCTGGAAGGAAGACCAATATTGCACCATCCTGTATGGAGGGGAAAAAAATCATTACAAAGGATCACATAAACAAAATACACTAAGGATAAAAATCTGTGCACACTTAAGTTTTCATTAAAATTATACTTCCTAAGAATAATTTTGGTTACTGATTATGAAGAGTACAAACTTGCTTTTTAAAAATTGAATTTATATAAACCAGATTTTTTCATCTGTTCATTCTTTTCTTCAAATAGATCAAATATCTGAATCATTTGGTATTTTGAGATTCTCATTTCTGGTGTCAAAAGCAATTTCTTCCATAGGTTATTTTACAAAGCACTTAAGAGGCCCTGGCCAGGCAACTCAGTTGGTTGAAGCATCATCTGAATATCCCAAGGTTGTGAGTTCAATACCCAGTCAGGGCACAAACAAGAGTTAACCAAAGAGCACATAATGTGTAAAACAATGTATAGATATTTCTCTCTCTCTCTCTCCCCCTTCTTCTCTAAAACATCAATAAATTAAAAAAAAAAAAAAGAAAAAGAAAATGCATTTAAGAAAGTTTCTCTTTTCATGGCCTTGATATGAAAAAAAAATTAAAATTACGTCACTTGAAGAAAACAAAACTAACCTCTTCTTCCAAAACAATGTATCGAATAAGGGCAGCAATCAAATTCAGATCAACTTTATCATCATCCACCATTTTTATAACATCTACAGTACTTGCAGAATACCTATCAAAGTTAAACAGAAAATCATGAAATACTTAGTAACGTTTCCTGAAGTCTAACTTGCTATAAAATCTAAAAATTAACTCAACCCGCAAATAGGTGAACAATCAATAAATAAGAGAGAATTACTAGGAAAATAATAGTATTTACCAGTCAAATTAGTATAGTATTCAGCTGGAATGAGACTTGCAATAATCTCCTTAAATACACACAAATTCAGGAAAGTAATTCCTGCTTTTTTTAGTCAGTCACTGTGTTGACTTGCAAGCAAAATAAACTTACCTCTTCTGCAGCTCCCTTATATAATCTGGCCAGCGTTCTTTATAAATTGCTTCTTTTTCTTCTTTTTCTTGTCTATTTACATGCCCTTGCATGAAACTCCTCTTAAACTGGGATCTGTGTTCTTTTTGTTCTGGAACATATCTAAAATAGAAACATTCTTAAATAGCTTCACTTTTTTGAACTTCTTTGGTTTTAGCTAATATCTGTAATTTTTTACTTTTAGGATTTTAAAAAAGATTATGAAAAACAATTTCTAGCGAACATCAGTTAAATATCAAATTTGCAAGTATTCATTAACATAAAACCTGACATTCTGTATGAAAATTACTCTTCTCTATCAAAGTACATTCCTCTAGGTCATTATAAGCAATCAAAATTAGAGTAACTTTCATCTTCAATTTTAAGTTTGCCCTAAAAGTTAGTAAGTCCAAAGTAAGAGTTAACGTTGCCTAACAGAAGACTCAAATTTTACAATATAGGTTTCCAAACCTGAGTATACCTAAGAATTCCCTGGAGAGTTTATAAATTGCAGATTCTGAAATCCTATACCTTGTGATTTGGATTTGAGTCTGGCTGGGGTCTGCTAATCCAAGAATTTAATTAGCGCCCCAGGAGATGGAAATAGTGTATTTATATATGCACAGTCCCATGCTTGAGAACTATTTAATTCAGCTCAGCTCAGGCCCACAGACAACTCTACTGGCGGAGCCAGAAGCAGCATTCAAATTGCTCGTCTGTCCAGGGCTATCCTATGACTCCACCATGCTGAAGGGACTGCTATAAGCTGGGCACATCAGCCCCAGAATCCCACCTATTATTAAGTGGGCTCTGAGAGCATGAAGGTAGAAAGAGAAAAAGGAAGCGGAACCTAAACTTAAACCCCAAATTCCCTGAGAGTTCTCCTAGGGGACAGCATCTGGATGGGATGGGGGATTTGGAACATGGTTTTATTGAATCACATTATGGACCGATGTCCCTGCCACTGACAACCTGTGTGACTTTGAACAAGGTATAACTCTCGGGTCTTCAGTTTCTTATTTGAGAGATTAATACCCTGGTAATGACGTTAGTGTAAGAATAAACGCAAAAAAGTGATAGAAAAAAGCACAGTGCCTGACACGTAGCAGACACCCAAAAAGTGTTAATCCCCTTCCCTATTCAGTACCTGTGACCCGGGATTCCCCTAAGTCTTCGATACATATAGAGGCACCAACTTGAGGTAGGGCAACCTGAGACAGAGATTAGTCCTAGTCAGCAGGATGGACCCAGTTGGCTCCCTTCCCAGCAGTTCCAACAACAGAAGTAACCTTGAACCCCCACCCCAAAGGCCCGATCACAACCCTCCTCCTCATCTCACCCTACTTTCTTCCCTCCCACTTCCCTGTAGTGCAGCTCTTCCAGGAAGGTGACAGCTAGAGTTTCTGCTAAACTTCTATCCAAGGATCACCCTCCTTCAACTCCCCTCTTAGGGATGGCTACTGAATGACAAAGACATAGATACTGTTCTTTTGCTGCAAGAGATCCTTTTAGCTACAGTTCCTTGTACCTAACCTGCCTTTCAGATAGCTTAAGAAAGCAAGTCTTGCCCCAGCTGGTGTGGCTCAGTAGATTGAGTGCCACCCAGCCTGTGAACCATAAGGTCACCAGTTCGATTCCCAGTTAAGGCACATGCCAGTAGGGGGCACGTGAGAGGCAACCATGTATCCCCTGAACACCAATGTTTCTCTCCCTCTCTTTCTCCCTCCCTTTCTCCTCTCCCTAAAAAAGTAAATAAATAAAATCTTTAAAAAAAGAAAGCAATACATTTTTATGTAATTTTAGATTACCAATCCCTGCATTACTTTCAAGCTGTTGACTATTTGAGTGATTTCATTATTCTCTTAGAAAACAAGTGGTAAATGGTAGGAAGTTGACATGTTGTGGAAAGTGGAATTGAGGAAGAGCATAAAAATTTATGGCCAATGTCCTGGCTGGTGTGGCTCAGTGGATTGAGCGCCAACCCGAGCACCAAAGGGTCACTGGTTCGATTACCAGTCAGAGCACATGCTTGGGCTGCAGGCCAGGTCCCCAGTGGGGGTCGCGCAAGAGGCAACCACACACTGATTTTCTCTCCTCTTTCTCCCTTCTTTCCTCTCCCTCTAGGAATAAATAAAATCTTAAAAAAAATATGGACACTGATAAAACCAGGGCATGGAAGATCAATATAGTATCTCTCTCACTTCTAGTATGTTCCATCCCCTCTGACATACACACTTCCTTTTTCTTACTCAGAATTTCACTGCTTCCCTGACTTGCCTAGTCTATCCCTGCTATATATAATGTCATTCCTAACACACTCTATTTTCCCACAACAGGTCAATCATATCTTATATTAATAGCGTACATGTATCCCTGCCTAGATACAAGTTGTCAGTTATGTACCAAGTCTTTCCATAGTTTTATGCTCCGACCCTAGAGCACAATGCGAGACATAAAGTTAAAAAAAATACCTGTTAAATAAATGTCTACTCAAATTTGAGCTAACTTTTCTCCATGTAAAATACACAGTATGATCTTTCTTCTCACCTTCCCACTAGTCCTTTTCTCATTTAACAAGTAAACTGTGGAGTCTTGAAAAAAATCTCATCACTGCATTTCTACATCTGCCCATGTATTTATTCAAGTGTTTCCTGTGGCCAGGCACTGTGCTATGCACTAGTTACAAAGATGAACAGGACAAAATCCTTGACCTCAAAAAAATATGAAATCTGCCCTGGCTGGTGTGGCTCAGCAGATTAAGTGCCGGCCTGCGAACCAAAGGGTCACCGGTTCAATTCCCACCAGGGCACATGCCTCGGTTGTGGGCCGGGTCCCCAGTAGGGGACACGTGAGAGGCAACCACACATTGATGCTTCTCTCCTTCTCTTTCTCCTTCCCTTCCCCTCTGTCTAAAAATAAATAAAATATTTTAAAAAGAAAAAGAAAAACATGAAATCTACTGCCAGAGGCAAATACAAAGAGATACATTACATGGCAATAAGGCAAGTTTTGTGAGGGACATGATACAAGTGCTATGGGAGTCTCCATGAGGAACCAACTCATTCTGTGAGAGATATCAGAAATGGCTTAATGGGCAATAAAGCTGGGATTTTTTACATAATCAAGTTTATAGTTGAAAGAATGGAGAAGGTGGCAAATTAAGTGTAAAAGGAGGAAATAACCTGTAACAAAGCACAAAGTCATGAGTGAAAGGGCGATGGCTGGCACAGCAGAGAACGCTGCATTTCGTACAGGCAAGCCATGGGACGTCCGAGGCTGCTCCAGGGTGGGGCCAGACTGCGCAGAGCTCTGAAATGACGGCTCAGGAGCTGGAAGCTGACCCTGTGGGGCTCTGCCACCTGAGCCCTTTTCTCATCAGAACGTAAATACGATTCTGCACAGGTCCTTGGAGAAGGCGGCCAGCACTGAAGAGATCACCACGCTGAGCAAACCTGTGGGGTGCTCTGCTGTACGTGGTGAGGACCAAATAGAGGTTCTTAGATAAGTTTTTAAAAAGAAACCTCAGGGGCCTTGTCTAGGGGGAGAAAGTCACTCGGGCAGACTTTTTTAGAAGGTACATGGCGGCAGCTGTGACGGTGAAAAACCGTAGGCCAAAAGATTATGTTGGCACAGAAGAGATGGTACAGGTCTTAAATAAAAGAAATAAAAATGAGCAGACACATATTCAAAGCAAAAGTCCTTAGGGTTTGCATTGGGGGTGGAGGGAGGGTACAGAATGACTTAACCTAACTTGGTTATTAAACAAGTAAAGCAATTAACTTATCCTAGTACATAACTCCTTGATAAATACTACCTTTTTTTGATTTACAGCTTAGACAACTTGGAGGATAATATCAGTATCTATTATAAGGCTTAATTTTTTTTTTTTTGGTGGTGGAAGCAAGCATGGTGGGAAGGGAATATAAGATGATTTTGGTTTTACAACTGTGAGGTTCAAGGCATCAGTGGTACTGGAATGCTGCTGGGTGGTCAGACAAGTTTAGAGTTCAGAGAGAGCTTTAGTTTCAAAGCTGCAGCTCAGAGAGCTACGAAAACACAGGCGTACAGTCATGGAAGTGAAATCACAACTGACTGAGAAAAAGCTAGTTGAGAACTTACGGGATAATCATATTTAAAAGATGGGGAATGGAAGCCTGCAAAGGAGAATGAAAAAACAGGCAGGCGAACCAGAGCATCCCTAACTTTGCTGCACAGGGATCTTTGAAAAATACTGATGCCTGGCTACTAGCCCAGACTCTGTGACGTAATTAAGGTATGGGCTGTGATCATGACATCTGGATTTTAAAAGACTGGGGGTGATTTTAATTTGCATTTGGAAATCCCTGATTTAAGGAAAAAAAAAAGTTTTAGAAGGAAGCGGTTAAGGGTAAGTTTCTGAATTAAAGTTTGACAGAAAAGGTGACATATTAGTATTTTTAAATCTTTCTTATTTCCTAATATTTACTTACCTTATTTTTTCAATTATATCTTCCAAAAGATACTCCACAACCGGAAAAGTAAAACCAGGTATATGTATCATTGGACAGTTACCTATTATGGTAAACAAAATGCAAGTGTGTACTTAAATGTTCAAAATAAAAATAGACATTGTAAATAGGACAATAATTCTATTACTTTTTTTAACTTCAGCAAATGGTCCTAACTTTTACAGCTCTATCCTACTTTTTCCATATCTAGTTCCACAAAAAGCAGCAGTCTCATCTTCACTCAACACCTTTTTACTGCTACTAAACGGTACATACATCTCACAGTTCTAAAGTAACGCAAGATACCGAAGGATAAAGAATTTGAGATTGAACACAAAACCAATTAGTTAGAAAGTCTATTTTCTCTTCATTAGGCAAAATGGTGCCATCAGAACCTATCTGATTATAAGGAATCTACATAAGAAGCATTCCTCCCATGGCACACAGAATTAGGAAAAAGGCAGTTAAAATAAGACCAAACCAAACAGTAAGTTGTTACTTACTATTTTAGAATCATTAGTTAAAAAGAAAAAAAAAGATTCTTAGAACTTTTTCCTGAATGTTACTCATATTCTGTACCAAACAAACAGTACACGCTGTAAGCAAAGGTCACCACTGCAGCGAAGGTCAAATCTGAAGCGGTTTCACAGCTTTGCCTCTGACTTTTGTTAAGTTTGAGAAAGTTAGTGTTAGTTTTGGGTGACTCATGAAAAGACAAATGATTTAATTCACTCAAGCAACCTCACATGGCTTGGAGGGTCAACTAGGCTGAACCCAAGCACATGCATTAAACTGGGCTGACTGTAAGAACATGTATTAAACATAGCTCTATTCAATTTTAACTCCCCCCCTTTTCCCCACCTTTCCCAAATATAAGCAGGAGAGAGGCATAATTTTAAAGAATATACTTTGCAGCTAGTCAAATTATTTTCAAATCCTCTTGACCGTCTGTTAATTAGACATCCTGGGGTAAGCTACTTAACTGTGCTGAGGCTGTTATCTCTTCTGTAAACGTAAAAGTAACAGCACTACCTCACAAGGTATTATGAGAACAAAGACAAAGTGCCAAATATACTACTTGGCTTATTGAAGATATTCTGTAATTTGTTGCTAGTATTGATGTTATTAGCAAATTACCACCCTAGCCTGTGACAGCACATAAAAGCCACAAAAAAGAATCACAAAAAGTTTATAAAACTATTCAAATTTATAGCGTGACTTCATTGATGCCAGGTTAATTATCTGATAATTATCTAAAATAATCATAATCAATTTTACTCACCAAAATATTCTGAAAATTTCTCAGCATTCAATGTTGCACTCATCAATATTACCTTCAGATCAGGCCGATAACTTAGAAGGTCTTTAACAACAGTCATTAAAACATCTGACTGCAGATTTCTCTCATGGATTTCATCAAGCACAATATGACTAACACTGGACAAATGCCTAAAAGCAGAAGGATGGTGAAGTATATAACTCAGTACAAAAATTAGTAACACCCAATTTAATAATTATATCTTTTGAGAAGATTTAACTAAATGTTCTGAATTTAAATATACTCACGAGTCTGACTGGAGCCACTGAAGGATGATTCCTGTCGTACAGTATAATATAGAACCCTGTTTCCTTGGCAGCCGGCTGTGAATAAAAGACACAAGATAACAATGCTTGGTTTTCTTTAGTAGTAAAATAATGAGTAGCACAAACATTTAAAAGAAAAACTTCTATTTAAAACACTTAAGAGTTTTAATGAGTATCTTCACAATTAATTTGTTATAGGAATGCCAACCACAATAGGGTAATGGGAAATACTACATTCAAGTTCATCATACATTATTTTTGTTGTCATGATATAATGTTAATAATTTCTTTTTAAATGAATAACCATTCACATTCAGAAAATGACCCATTACTTAGGGCCTAAACTTCTGTTCGGTAATTGGAAAGTCAGTTGATTTAAAAAGGTCAATGGAATTTTGACCTCACGGGAAGAACTAAGAGAGTGAAGTAGGATGCGGTTAAATAAAATCAATAAAGTTGGTCAGGGGCTGGGTGGTGGTACCAAAATACAGGACATCAACTTCTTTCAGGGAAAGAGACGACCTACTAATGTATGTCCAGGAAGTAATTTATTTTTCTAATCATTCCATAATATAAGACATTAAAATGACAATCCAGTTCTGAATTTGGGTTAAAAAAAATGTGCATTGCAAGCCTCCTGTGTTTCAGTTACTTTAAATATTCTAATAGTAATAATCAGCATTAAATGGGGAAATTTTTTTTATCTCCAGCTTCATGTTTTCACTAAAATCTACTTGTAAACAGGAAGTGAACATTCTTTACCTCTGCAGACGAATTTGGTATCCAGTACTATTACCATTGCCACAAGATTCTGCCCTTTCTGCAGCCACTCTCTCTGCAACCTTTAATTAAAATACAGTTAAAAAACAAAATAAAATTTCATTTAGTATAAATATTCTGCATGTCTATGAAAACCTGTGATCGCTGAAAAATTGTTCATCTGATTTTCAAGAGTTAAAAAAAGAGACATTAAAGTCTGAGTTAATACTGTGTGTGTCCCTTAGGAGCTACAGGCTATTTGGTTCGTATGTTTACTTTTCATTTCCTTTTAAGCTCTCCAAGGTCAAATTCTCTCTCACCACTATTTTCAAAACGCCTTTCTACAGCCATCCTCTCATTTTTTCTTCTCTTTTGTCTTTTCTAAAAGAACTGGAAATCATGGTCTAAACTTGCATAACTTACGTGGAATTTGAGGGTAAATACATGTTGATATATTTGTTTTTTGTTTGTTTGTTTTTGTTGTTTCTTAATTCCTGATTGTGTTTCACAAAGTTATGGCTGCCAAAGGTAAGCTCTGGGTAGATGAAATGTTATTATAATGAATCCTGATTTGTGCAACTGAAAGTAACCAACAGTCATCTTGTGACACAAGGAGGTTAGAAACAGAAAATGACAATTAATTTTAATACTTCAGAAGTAAAAGTTAGTAATCAGTATATCCCATATATACCATTATTTCACTTTATACCACCTATCGAATTGCCCATTCAAAACCAGATGATCTTGGAAAAATAAGTTAAAAAAAAAAATCTACTATTAACACTACCCTAAAGGAAAATGAAAAGTAAAATGAGGGACTTTAAAAAGTGAGAGATAACTTACTGAAATGGCACTAATTCTTCTTGGCTGAGTACAAACTATCCTGCACGCAGATCCTTTTCCTCTTTCGATGTAATTATCCAAAATGAACTGAGTTACTTGAGTGGTTTTTCCACAACCAGTTTCACCACTTATTACTGTCACCTGATTATTATCGATCATATTTACCAATTCCTATTACAAAAGGAAAAATAAGTAAAGGACATTGCATGTTAAGTCTAAAAAAACAGTCATTGAAATTCTACAAAACTGAAGGTAACTGCTTCTAACAAACATTAATGCTTTTTAAATTTTATTTTGTGTACTGCTGGCAATTTGGATACCCGGATCTACCAGTTTTCAAAAGCTCTCAGCACTAAATTATTTAAAAACACAGAACCAAAGCACTGTTAAAAAAAAAACAAACCATACTGATAACAAAAAAGTAACAGCTCTTAAGTTCCATGCATAAAAATTAAAATTAATCAAAAAGAATGTTGACATGGGGCTATTGAGTATAGGGCCCCAATACATAAACAACCACTGAAGGCATCAAGGATTTATAGAATAATTCATAAATGTGGCTCTGTCTGCAGGACAAGTTTTATATATTGTTTGAAAGAATAACAAAGAATATAATTTAAGATGCTTTCCTTTAAAATAATTAAAATAAAGGATTTTCAATACCTAAATTACCAAAATAACATTCTGTGACAATTCTAGTTTTTAAATTCTAAAGATTTCAATTATGGTCATGTATATGAGCAAACTTCAGAGAAATTGTTTCATGACCATTTTTCTTTTTGTTTTTCCACAATTCAAAAGAATAAAATGAACTTCCAAGAATATACTTTAGAAAAAGGTTAATTTATATTTCTTCTCAGCATAACACTGTAAAACAAAAAAAGTTGTAGTTTAAGTATTTTTCAAATCAAATTAAATAGTGCGTAGTCATTTACCTTTTGCATTCCAAATGAAGGCAGCTTTTCCCTGAAATGCTAAAATTAAAAAAAGTTAAAAATTTTCACCAAAAAACAGGAATGAAATTATAATCCTGATAATCAGAATATGTCAATAAATATGCTAGAATACAAAAGTATTTTTATTGCCTCACAGCTTATGTGACATATCAACTTAAAAAAGAATTTTATTTAAAAAAAACTAATTTAGCAATCCCTTGTTTTTGAAACATTGAAAAATAAATTCTATTGCATCAAACAGAATGGAGGTAACTTCTCAAGAGTTAGTGAGAGTGAAATGAAATCTGATCTATCATTTAATCTATCATTTAACATCTGAGTTCCATACAAAGTAAACAGAGACAGCAGCTAATTCTCCTTGTTCCTAAGGCTGTAAAAGCTCTACTCTCAACCACATGATGAATTCTTTCACTTGAAATCTCATCTGTCCTTATACTTTCACACAACAGGCAACAAAAAACTACACAATTTGGCTCCAGACAACCTCAGCTCAATCTGCTCTAAACAGGATATCCAACCTTAATCAGCAATAGTCAGTGCACCTTTTCCTTCCCACAGGGAATGTGACTGATATTCTGCCTTTGTCTAAAACAGCACTATTTGCATATTAAAGATATGGCCTCAGAATTTTCATTTAAAAAAACCACAACACATGTGAATATTCTATTACAACTCTCTCTAGAACATCCACAAAGCACACAACTTTATATTTCAATAGGAAGGACCTTAAAATATCTTGCCTAACAGGAAAATACTAAAAAAAAAATTTCAGGACAATTTTAGTTACTGTCACAGTCCTAGCTTTAAAATGTTGAACATAAGCAAATCATAGAACTTTTGAGGCATTTAATGCTATCATCTGTAAGAGGATTAAATGGTCTAGAAGAAAATACAATTTTAACCACCTTGCCTTTTATGACATCTCCCTTACCTGGCTTAGAAAAGTTAAACATAAGAGTGATTTTTTCATTTAAATTACCATTTTCAAATAGTTCTTCTCCTCACCATATAAGCTGCAATAGATGATGGGCTGCTATAAATTATATATAATTCCATTCCTGTTGTTTTTCTCTATTTTATGGGGGCTGGGGGGGAATTCTCAGAGGAAGGCCTATGGAGGAATCTCACTGATCTACTCCGTGCAACTATCTCTAACCATAAATATATTTTTATCAAGTTTGAGAAGTAAAAATTTTTTCCACATCTTGCTTCCCATTACCTGCATTTCAATATACCGAGGGTCAGTTTTTTTCTTTTGCAAATCTTCCAGTAACTGTTGGTCTAAAGTTACATCTGGTTTATTTTCTTGCAAGAGATACTCAGAATCTCGGTCAATATATTTGTCCCTGATTCTAAATGTCCTTTTTTCTTGATTTATCAATTTTTTTTCCTGGTCCTCAAATTTCTTCTCTGAGTTTGGTTTGTTCTCAGCAGGAGCTTCGGTACCATACCTATTTTGACAAAATAAAAAATGACAAAGGGTTAAATAATCACTCAGGCACTGAAACAAACAACATACCATTTATTTCAAAAATCACCAAAATCAAAAGCTTTTATTCTTTTCTCTTAGTAGAGCAATTATTAAAACACATTCTTAAAATATGCTAAAATTTTTCCTCCCTCCAAAGAGATGCCAGGTAAGTTATTCCTTGTGGTAATTAAAATTTTTTCAAGATCCACACAAGTCATTCCTCCTTTGCAATGGCATGATGTTGTGATGAGCCTTGTTATATTTCACAACTTCATTTCTTCCTGCTACCTTTTCTGAGCTATAAACGGGATGCTACATTACACAGTCCCAGAAAAACTTTTACTAATAAAAAAATCTCATATGCAGGTAAACTATTCCTATCATTTAGCTTTCCTGTTGGAAGGAATATGCCATCTAATTTTTACCCTTTCATCAAATTTGCTCCATCTGCATAGGAAAAGAAAATTACTTCAAGGCTAATTTCCCTTATTCAAATAAATGTAAAGATGTAATTTTTACTATCATAATTCTTTTCTAGCCAATGCTATGACATAAGTGTCACTCTTTGCCCATCTTTTAAAAGAATATTTTTTGTTTTACCCATGATCTTCCGGAGCAAACCAGGATATTTGTGATTCTGAATCTTTATCATTCTTAGCTTGGACAGAATGTAGGAGCTGCACAATTTGTTCTTCTCGATGTTCATCCATGTGTACTACAGCTCTCTATTTTGTGAAAAGAAAAAACATCCTCATCAATATGAGAAGGCACGTGCAAAATTTTTTGATAAAAAAAAAGGTAAATATATGTTCAACAAATATAAAAAGAAGGTTAGTTACCCCACACTTACCTCTTGCCCAATTCCAATTCCCAGACCTAGTGCTAACATTTTTGTATATATCCCTCAAGATCTTTTTTTCTACTATATATGTATAAAATTAGCTAAACTATAACTGGCAAAAAAAAGATGTTTACATTCTTTCCTAAAACTTTGGTTTCCCTTACCTCCTACCCTCACATTTTATGATTTTGTTTTCTATATTAAATTTTCACAGATACCTACAATTGAAGTTAATAAAACCAATATTCTGTTTAAAAAAAAAACAACTAAGTTAAAAACTGGAAATGCTATTTTGGTTGTAATGGACATCTCAAGAGCCTTTTAAACCTTGCACACTAAGAGGAATAAATTGGGATGAAGATTGAGCTCAGAGAAAATAAAATGATCAATGCTCATGAAGATAATGGTATGATATGGCACATGATTCAGTTTCTTCACCGAATGAGAATTATTAAAAAAACACACCAACCCTAGCCAGGTGGCTCAGTTGGTAGAAGCATCGTCTCAAACGCCAAAAGTCTGCAGGGTTGATTTCCGGTAGGGCACATACCTAGGTTGCAGTTTCAATCCCCAGTTGGGGCACATGCCTAGGTTGCCGGTTTTGATCCTCAGTCAGGTGCATACAGGAGGCAACCACTCAATGTTTCTCACACCTGTGTTTTTCTTTCTCTCCCTCTCTTCCTCCCTCAAATCAATAAATATATCTTCGGGTGAGGATAAACTATACATAGATATATTTTATCTGAGAAGGGCCAACAAGTTTGAAAGCCACTGTCGACCCTCATCTCACCACATGCCACAACCATGCTCTTAGTTTTCGTTCCTTGAGCATGTTCTTCCTTATCTTTGTGTTGTGGCACATGCTGCTGCCTCTGTCTGAAAATCCCTTTCCAAACCTCAAATCCCAAACACATACACACTTTGCTATCTTTCCAGTTTCAGCATAAGGGTTACAGCCTCTTGAAAATCTTCCCGATCCTCCTAGAATCAGATGACACCCCACAATACTTTAACATTGTATTCTAACTACCTCTAGCCCCTAATGCACCACTATCTCTGTAAGGTAGGAACTATATCTATCATATTAACATGGTGCCTAAGATACGATATTAGACCCTCAATAAATATTTGATGAAAGAGTAAGAGTATGTCATTATAATACATTCACTAGGTAAGCAGATTACTTGAAAAAGTAAAACCTATGGAAATTCTTACTAGGAAGCAATCAAGCATCGCTGAAGGTAGTCAAAGAGGTGGGATTAGCTAATTATTAAATAATGCTCATGTTTACATAGAGAAAATGGAGACATTTTAGAGAGTGCAATGGTATGAGAATTGTAAGAAAAAAAACAAAAATAACAGTATGTTTACAAAAGCCATAATTACGTCAGATTGGTGACTGAACTCAAAAAGGTAAGTAAATAGAGGGAAACGTGTTCTATGGAAGTTGGATTTCCAAGTTTCCTGGAACACATGTTAGGATGCCACTGAAATGAATCAGACTGCGACAGATGTGAACCTGCTTCTAATCTCAAGTTGTGAGCAAAGGAATGCAGTGACTTTCTTTTTGCTTTTAAAAGATCACCATGAGGGGATCTACAAAGGACAACTAGTGGAAGCTAGAAGACCAGTAAGGAAGCCAGAACAAAAAACAAAATGGTGGCCTGACCTATAGCGATGGCTGTGGTTCGCCTGGGATATATGAAGTGGGCAGGACCAATGTGCTGAAACAAGAGAGAGGAATAACAGGTAAACTCCATTTTGGCCTTGGCAAGTGAATAAATTGTAGTGACATTTACTAAAACAGAGAAGGTTTGGGGGGGGGTTTGGAAGTCAAGAGTTCCATAATGATCCACTTGCACAATGGGTTTCAGGTAGAAATAACAATGAAGGATTATTCCAGGTTTACTTAACTTCTCATCCGTTAAAGTCTTATTTTCCCAATTAGACTGTTAAGTTACTTGAATTTTATTACTTCAGATTCCCATAGCAACATAATAAAACCTTGTGGGAAACTGGGGTAAATGAAATTTGATAAAGAGTTCTTAACAAAGTTACTATAGGGTTGTGGCTGTTTTAATGCTTAAAATGAAAGCTGGACTATTATGAACGCTCTACATTCAAAAGAGTGGTCGGCAGCTTTTGTTCCCCCGCAACCCTGTACCTACTGCTGGTTTAGAGTTCATCATGCAAAAAAATCTTAAAATAAAAGTGACCATAATTATTTTAAGAGAAAGGGCAGCCAGTGATACAATGGTAGTGTCACCCCAATAGAGTTAATTTCAGTTGGAACCTGAAATTAACACTTGCTTTGTCCACAGTTCCCTCGTCCTTATTAAGCAAAGTACACATTCAGCCTACATAAATCCTAACAGCTTCCGGTAAGATGCCCACGACTAACGTTTAGCTATATAATATATTCTACATTCGGAATGTTTAACATAATACCTTTGCACTTCATATTCACATCACAAAGCACTTAAACCAGTTAAGGAACCAAGAAATTAAAAAAAAGAAAAAGAAAAAGAAAAATTAGGAGTGGCAGGAGAGAAATGAAAAGCTGTTCTGCCTCATGCCCTTGCACTATCGAGTCTCGGATTACCTCCTGCCTCTCGGCTTCCTTGTTCTTCTGCCCCTGTTTCTTCGCGTACCACAAGCCGATTTCGCGGCCTTTCAGGTGCCCGGGATGTCGGCCCCGGCCTCCTCGACCACCGCCTCCTCCTCCGCCACCGCCTCCGGAGCCTCGGTTCCCTCCATGGCCCCCTCCATGACTTCCTCCACAGCCCCCACCGGAGCTGCGGGGCCCACCATCGCGGCCCCAGCTCTGATGGTAGTCATAGCTCATTGTCCCACCGGACTACAATGCGTGAGAACCTGTACCCGATAGAAATGGCGACGGGACCGGAAGCGAGTATACGTCCACTTCCGCTTTGCTTCCGGCGCCCATTGCGAGAGGTGGGTCCTTGGGCGTCACAAGGAGCCACTTCCGGTGATGTCACCGGCAAATGCGAGGTTGGCTCAAAGTGAAATCTACTTGTTCTTCCCTTTGTTGTCTATCTATAGGCATACGGAGGGAATGCGGGCAAAAGGATCACAGGTTTTCTTTCTCTACGCCCAACATTTGAGGGAATGGGTTTTACTTTCTTACTGTTTGTGGTAAATTCCAGAGTTTGCGTTCAATTAGGCCCTATACAGTAAACACCGATGGAGTAAAAGAACCTGTGGGATGAAGCATTCTTTCCAAAAAGTCCCTAAAGAAATGAAATGAGTCCATCGTATCTTATTTTCATCGTATGTTTTTTTCTTTTTTCCCTAGCACTACGTCATGGAAACAGCCTGGCGCCTGTTTCAGATATTTCATTGAGTAAAAAAAAAAAAAAAAAAAAAAGTCCCTGCGTTTTTCAAAGGATTATCACTATGCTCTACTACCTTTAGCCAACAGCATAAGATGAGCATGTCTAGCCAAATTCAGTGCAGCAGTTAAGCAGTTAAACAAAACATTAGTTGAAGATTCGTATGTTCACATGAAGTTAGCTATTGTTGATTCATCAGTCTACAAAGTGTCCAGCTGTTCTTGAGCAATCAAGGGACTAAGCCACACAGGCTTGGATGTTCACCAGGGGATATCCGTTTATTTAGACATGTAACTAGGGATATTCACTGATAAGAAACACAGGGCATGAGCTTTCATTTGTGTACAGTCTTGAGAAGATAAAGGCTAAAGAAATTTGTGTGTGGTGAGTTAAGAAAGGAAAATGCTATATGCTGGAGAGGGGTTCAGAATACTGCCTCTATGGCATAAAAAATATTTTGAGCAGAGGCATTTGATTTCTTGCTATTGCTTTTCCGCCTGAAACCAGAGCCTCCCTTTGGCTCCTTTGAGTAGATAGGAGTGGAGGAGGCAAAAGTGGAGGTAAAGAAACTAGTTACCAGACTGTGATATAGGGAAGCAAATGGGATGACAGATCAAGATGGGATATGGGAAGGAATGGAATTAAGAGATGTTATGAGATGAAATTTTAAGATTTAATAACTCATTTAATGTGGAAAATTAGAGAAAAAGGTCAGATGACTTTCAAGTTTAAGATTTGAAAATCTATCAAATGAGGCAGCACCATATCCTGATATGAAGAACATTGAATGAAGAGGATTATTTTGGTTGGGGGGAGAGTTAACTTAATATGTTTAAATAAGGTATGTGAAGTTCGAGGAACCTATGAAACATACAATTTGAGATGTCTAGAAATCGGTTATATGAGTTTCAAGTGCAGAGAAAGCGGACAGATAAGATAAGAACTCCTATGTTTTGGAAGTTCTCAGATAATACTAAGACCACAGGAATTAACAGTTCCAATTAAAGTACACTTTGGGCACACCTGATGTGAGAATATGTGAATTATTCAATAGGTAAGGTTAGGTAGGCATATTGGAGGTGGTGGAGGAAAGAGTGTGGGCTGTTATGTGAGAGAGTGTTATGGACTGAATGTGTCCTCTCAAATTTCATATGTTGAAACTTTAACCACCACCACCCCCCTCCCCGTGTAATTGCATTTGGAGATGAGGCCTCTAAGGAAGTAATTAAATTAGATCATAAAGGTGGAACCCCAATCCAATAGGATTAGTGTCCACATATGGAAAAAAAAAAACAACATACAAACAAGAGAGCTTTCTTTCTCTTTCCTCAGAAGAAAGGTCATGTGGGAACAAAGAAGCTGTCACTAACCCAGGTATAGGGCTCTCACCAGAAACAGCTGGCAACTTGATCTTAAATTTCCTAGCCTCCAGAACTGTGAGAAATGTTTCTGTTCTGTCACTGAGGCTTAAACCTGCAGTATTTTCTTACGGTAGCCTGAGAAGACTAATACAGAGAGTAAGTGGGGAAGAGAACTACCATTTTTTGGTCGCTTACCATTTACTAGATAGTGAGCAAGGTGGTTCATATTTGTGATCATCAGAATAAAGACCCCCAAATATTTCATATCCCAGTTCTGGCAATCTGTGAATATGTTACATTACATGGCCAAGACTATTTAAAATTGCTAATAAGCTGACCGTAAAATGGGGGTATTATCCTGGATTATCTGGATGAGCCATGTAGCTATAAGAGTCCTCAAAAATGGAAGAGGAAGGCAGAAGGAAAGTTCATAGTGATGTGATGTGAGGACCCAACCAGCTGTTCCTGGCTTTGAAGATGAAGGAAGGGGACTGTGAGCCAAGGACAGCAGATCACCTCCAGAGCTGAAAAAGGAAACAGATTCTCCCTTAGGGCCTCCAGAGAGGAATATCCTGCCAATGCCAATGAAGACCCTTGTCTTCACATACTCCATAACCTTGACTTCTATACTATATAACTGTAAGGTAATGCATTTGTGTTAGTTAGGAGTCTAAGTTTGTGGTAATATATTGTGCCAGCAATAGAAAAATAATGACAGTCCATATTTTCCACAATCCTCATGAAAACCCTGGAGAGAGGTAGTGTTATTTTTTTCTGATGAACTGCATTATTTCTCTTCACCTCATATTTGTTGTTCCTAAGCAGAATCTTAGTTATGAATTTAAAATTACTAATTTTTCCTGTTGTCTTCAGCATGTAATAGAGCATTAACTAAGGCTATTGCTTTTGGCAGACACTTAGCACAAATGTCATTGTTGTAAAAATCTGCACAGAAGGGTGATTTTCAAGGGAAGATCAGAAAGATATTGGTAAGAAGAAACGTGTAATTTTTTTACTGAGTTGGTTTTTGTTTTTTGTTTTTGTTTTTTTTTTTTTGTTTTTTTGTTTTTGTTTTTGTTCTTGCCTTGGTTGGAACCACAAGAATTCTCAGGTTAACCTACAGCCAGAAAACAAATGGTGTGACTGATTCATTATAATTGACATTGTTCCTCTAACTGATACTTTGCCATTATTCATGCTCTGGACAGGCTAAAAGATGACCTTTCCACTGATCTCAAATGTTCCTCCCCTGATCTTTTGGTTGCAAACACACAGTGTTTTATATCTAACTTCCATAGGCATCCACTTCCCAGTCCAGCCACCTATGAAATGTAGCCACACACCACACTGCTGTGAGAAAGTGTCACAGTTTTCTCAGTCTCAGGGATTCTCTTATTCTTCACCTTCTTTACCTCAACCCTCTGAAACAACGCGTGTAATTTTCCATGGATCTAATATTCATGAAGACCTGGGTGGGGATTTTTTTAGTGTTCCCCGTGGAAAATGGAGCCCTTAATTATTACCTCCTCTTGGAGTGGAGAGAGGAGGGGATATGTTGATATAAGTAATCTTAAACCTCTAGAGAATATAGTCTGGCTGTTAAGGATGGGAGAGAAAATGGAGAAAATATTTGTTCCTCTCATATCAAGAAGAATATGGAAGAACATATTAAATAACTGAATAGGGTATCTTGTCATATAAAATTTTTGAACTGAAATTGGAAAAGTTTGGTTACACTGAAGATATTTGGATTTGTAGAGAATGACTCTTCTTGACTATAGCTTATAGTGAAATCTCTAATTTACTTAAAATACAACTCAGATCAGCAAAGAAAGTGTCAGCAGTTTTTTGGTTCATTTATTATTGATCTAATCTTTAAATTCCCTCTTTGCTAGGCAATAAAGAAATAGAGGGAACACCATGATTTTGTCAGCTCATTTTTTTCAGGTAATTATGAAGTTCCACTATTAGGCTTTTTTCACTCTTTCTTTCCTCTTTATAATGGGAAGGCTTGATGGCTGGGGGCTTGCACGCTTCTTCACTCAAACATCTGGTAGTTAATGCTGGTTTGGAGCTGAAGCTTTGTCTGGCTATGGGCCGGAACACCTGCACATAGCCTCTCCATTTAGTTGCTGTGTATGGCATAGTTTCAGCCTCCTCACAGAGCAAGTGTCACAGAGCAAGGTAACATTTTTCTTAACTAGTGTCAGAAGTCATGTGCACTATACTTTAGGTCAGTTACAGATGTCCAACCAGGTTATAGGGCAATTAGGCTTCACCACACTATAGGAAGTAAGCCAAGAAAAAGAAAAGCATGTGGGATGGGAGATATTGTACATATCCATGAAAGATACAATGGGCTGTAAGTGCTAATTCAGGTCCTCCCCAAAGCCATGTTACACCACCATTATGACAGTTTTACAGATGTCTCATGTTGCATCACAAGTACTCTTGCGATTGTCCATGTGACAACCGGGGGTTGGAAAAAGGAATGATGATACTATAAGTAGCACTTAATGAGTGCTTATTTTATGCTGGTTACTATAAGTAGGTACTCTTCTTTTTCTCTATTTTAATACAGTTAGGACAAGAAGCTCAAGAAACAGAAAGAATAAAAAGAACAAAGCCCCTTCAAAGAAAGAATACCACTATCATGGAAGTAGTTTATAAAAAATAATAGTCTTAACGAAAGTTAGAAAAAAACTAGGTGTCTGTACATTACTTATGCTGCTTTGCTTTATAAAGCTTCTATTTTCAATCATTAAAACTTCATTTATCTATTTATCAGAGATGTTTTAAAAATACTAAATGGCTATATTTTCAATCCTCCACCCATAATCCAAGTTCCCAAGGAGACATTTCACAGTATAACTCCAGAGAGGAGACAGAGTGAAGTCTGCCTCGGGAAAGGTGATATGAAGAAATGGAAATCCCTGGCATATGTGAAGTACAAGAACAAGAAGGCCTTATGATCATAGGAGAACTTGGAGGGCATATAGGGGAGAAAGAAGGGAAGATGTACTAGTATTATGACCCTTTTTCCCCCGGTCAGCTTTTGCCACATTCCCTACTTATAGATTTCCTGGTTATAGATTTCAGTATACCCATTGTTCATGCTAAAGAGAAAAATTACTCATTGGAACCTTGTCTTTCCCTGGAATTCTGGGAGATTTTACTTTTTTTACTATGTCAAATTGATCTGTTCTCCTGTATGTCTGTTCCTCCCACAAGTTTCTCATGCCTTACCTTTGGGGAGTCTTTTAGACATATCAGAATTTTTTGGTCTTAATTGCTGAATATTGAAGTCTCTTGGTTCAAGAATATGATATCTTTGCTCTACCCAAATCCATCAAGAACATTCTTCTCACGTGAAGAAAAGAATCATGTAATCACATTTGGTTTTTGTGTAACACAAGAAGACAGGAAGAGTCATAGCTTTCATTTACATTCTTAGAATGGCTAAAAAGTTTTAGTTATAATTGAATCTACCTGAGCTCACTTCATCCCTAATATTTCTAAGTCTATTCTAGAATAAATTGAGTTCTGAAGATGGACATCACACAATGGTAGAGTCAGAATCCGAATCAGAGATTGCAATTAAGCCTCTGATTCCTAGCCCAGTGTTCTTCCCAATGTACAACTGAAATAGTTACATGCATTGATTTCAGGACTCCATGGGAAGAAGACTGCAGGAGCTTTATATTTAGAGTGTTTCCAGATCTGCTGTATGTGCTTCTCTTGGTTGATTTTAATCTGTATTCTTTCCCTGTAATACTCCATACCTGTGAGGATACAGTTTTCAGTGAGTCATTCCAGTGAGTTACTGAAACTGATCGTGGTCGGGGGAACATTCTGAACTTAAAGTTGGTGTCAGAATTAAGGGAAGTTTTGTGTGGACTGTGTCCTCTTTATTTGCAGTTGGTTCAGACACACAATATATTTATATTTTTTTGTTTTTGTTCACAGTTATAATCCTAAATACCTAGAACAATATCTAGCATGCAAATAGGCATTCATTGAATAATATAATAAGTACATGAATGAAAGGAGCTGACTAGTATGAGAAATTAAGGGACTACTTATGAAATGCAATACTACAGAACCATGTTGAGAAAAGCTTCCAAATAATGCCTACCAGGTCCTTTTTTATTTCATTCTGACTAATACTGTGATTTTTGTGCTTTTCAAAATGGTTATCTCTGACAGTTACAACTCTTGGAAGTCTTCGGGAGTATTGTGTTTATATTAACTAAGAAGTTTTAGGGATTATGCCTTTTCAGTTTATAGGAGTCACCACCAGATGGTGATATTTTTATTAGGTAACAAGGAGTTTTTGTCTTCACATACATAATTTATAAAGAAAAGAGAGACATTATATGAAACATAGTATTTATTAATAAGAAGAACAATAATATAATGCAAGGGTAAGATATTTAAATATAGCACAAGATATCTATAAGGGTATTATATAATTTCTTATTATACCAGAAACACACTTGTACAATTACAATCTCCTTAAAGAGTAGGTGGATTCTATACTAGTGTAGCTTAACCTTCCCGTCTCTTAACAAGGCTTGGGAGGAAGAACCACTCTTGCTTAGGCACAGCCCCTGTCGAGGGTTTTTGTAGATTCAACTACTGTAGGTTTGGAGTTTGAAGTTTTACAAGTTAGTAATGTGATGTTGATTAGCCTTTCAAACTATGGCTTTGGGCTAAATTATCCTGGTACATATCAATACAGCTGGGCTTTTCAGGGTATCTATTGTATAGTTAGTTCAACAACCAAGTTTTTTTTTCCCTTTTTTTTTTTCAGTTGCCCAAATATAGGCCCAAGTCCAATGGGGGAAAAAAAAAATAGAACACAGAAAGGACAAGGATATTTCTGTTTTCCAATCTAATTCTTGTGTTCTTTAAATCTTAATTTTTATTAATCTTGAACTATGTACCTCACATTTATTTAATAAAATATATTGAATTGTTTTTTGCTTGAGATACACAGATCTTTGAGAAATTAAAAAGGAACTAAAATTGGAGTAATATTTGAACTACAATTTTCTATGCTTCAAGAATGGCTAAGAAAGTGTCAAATCTGCAACTTCAGAAATGGACATTTTTGCTTTGGGCACAGAGGATTTTCCTCTGCTTTATCCAGAAGTTTGTTACTCTATTTGAGTGCACCTCACAGGACTTAATCTGGCAGTGTTTTCCTCAATTTCCATTTAAAGAAACAAAACAATTCTAGAATGATAAAGTTTACATTTACCACCTTTCCAATAATGTTTTAGTAAAGGACTATTTCTAATTCCACTTGTAACACTCAATGTATTTGTTTTAAGGACAGCTTTATACTGAAAAGATGAAAGGAATATACTGTTAAAGGGAGAAAGAAAAGAAAAAATCAATGAACAATCTGTATTTTATAGAAATGAAGGAAACAACTATTTAGAGACTAGGGACATGCATGGTTCGAAGTTGGAAGTTAATTTGCCATTTTACAGAAGAATAAACTTCCTAGACATCAGTGAAATGCTAAAGCTGTAAACTGTAATAAGCTTGCTTTGTTAGTTCCATTTTGGCAAGCATGTTCAGATACAACTCAGAGTTTTGCCACATTTCTTCCATTCCCCAAATGTCCCTTTTTTTCCCCTGGCAGTTTAAAGACTAACATTATGTATAGAAACATGTGCATGGGAACAGTATACTTATTCAGTTTATACAATTTTTGTTTACTGAGGTTGACAAGCATTGGCAAAATATTAGAAACTAGGCCAAGATTTCATTTATAAAAGATTTTAAGAAATTGAGTAAGAAACAAATCTTTTGATTACCACAGTGTGCGATCTATAGGTAACACATCCAAAGCACTTAAGTGTTTACACTAGTTCCAGCTGTTTGCACTAAAAATAATTAAATGGCAAATCTGTAAAGCTTATGTAGACCAACAAGTGAAAAATGAAATCATATAGCCTTAGAACAGAGGTGTCAGTTTAGCAGTTTGAAGTTGCAGAGCCATTCTTGCCTGCATTAAACCAAGTGATCACTAGCTACCCTTGCCTTCTTCCTCTCTTTTCCTGTAAGCTGTATTTAGCAACTGGATTTCCTCTTGATAGCCATCCCTGTCTTGATGCTGCCTCTTACTGTTCTGCCTGTGCGCTTCAACGGTGTCCGGGATGGAGATGTTGATGTCACCGTCAGGATTACTCGTGGGTAAAAAGAGAGAATATGAGGCTGTCTCTCCTAAATCACATGAAACAAATCTGTTTTCTTTCCGTGAGTAACGTAGAGATGGAGATCTGACCTGTGTGGAGGACTGGCTGATGTTGCTAATGATTGACACAGTGTCCAAGGCCTCTTCGTTATCACAAATTTCAAGAACCTCCAAGTGTATTTTTACACTGGTGTCCGCAAATGTGGATGAAGAATCTTCTGAGTTTGGTTCATGGCCAACACTTTTGGATCGATAGACTTCTATTTTCTTAGAGGCTGGGGTTATTTTTTGTCCTTCAGCGCTTACCTCGTAGGTAGAAAGGGACAGCGTTTTCCCTGTGGGGGCTTGGAGAGACACCATCCCCTGGAATGCACACAAGGGAATGGCAAGGGCACCACCGGAACGCTGGGGAAACAACAAAGTAGTTATTACTGACAACTAGTTTCTGAGATTAGGCCACTTAGAAAGTCATTTTATTCATCAAAATGGTAAAATTTTTCTATTTCAGACTCATTTCCCTAGCAACTTTTTAGAGATAAGGGGTTTAAATTCTGCCATCAAAGTGCCATTGTACAGTTTCTCCTAAGCCAAATACATCTAAATGGGCAGAAGGCAGAAACCTTTCTTTGAAGATATGAGACATATTTCCACTGCTGAAGGCAAAATTTGGGCAGCAGATGTTTCCAAGAGCAGAATATGAGCATAAAATTGAATGCATATTTATAATCTGGAATTGCTTTTATATCTTTGTTACATATTTAGTTATATTAAGAAGTTTGCATAGGTTTAAATAAATGCAGACTCTGTTATCAAAATGTTTTGTATGCCAGAAAGAAAGATAATTGTGAAAGTATGATTCAGGTTAAGTACAAAAAATACTTCAACTGTTAGTAGCTTTGAGCACACAGAAGAGGAACCAAATATCACTAGAACTGTGCTATAGTGCACTTACATTTCCACAGAGAAATCACAATCATTAAAGTCAAGTCAGTGATAGGGAACTCACCCATGTCTGCAAAAACTTGCCTAAAATTTTAAATTTTTTGTCACATTTAAAACTGTATTAATTTTTTCTTAAAATTTCTCAGTTGTACTTACCACTGAGAAATACTTAAGAAATAAAATAATATCAATTTTTATAATAATCTGTACTTTACATTGTTGATTCATGCCTTCATAACTTTCAATAGGCTTGTTTTTGATTACATGTTGGTCTCAGAAGAAAATAATAATATGCCAAACTTCTAGAGCAGTGGTTCTCAAACCTAGGTCTCTAGACCAAGCATTAATCAGCATCACCTTGTGACTTGTAAGAAATGTGATTTTTTAAAGAATATTTTATTTATTTATTTTCAGAGAGAGAGGAAAAGAGGAAGAAAGAGAATGAGAGAAACACTGATGTGTGAGAGAAATATAGATTGGCTATCTCCTGCGCGCCCTTAACCAGGGACCCAGCCCACAACCTAGGCCTGTGCCCCAACCAGGAATCAAACCTGCAACCTTCTGCTTCTCAGCTCGGCACCCAACCTACTGAGCCATACCAGACAGGGCAGAAATGTGGTTTTTCTCTTAACCTCTACCACAGACTACTGACTTAGGAACTCTGAGGGTAGGGTTCAGCAATCTGTATTTTAAACAAGCCTTCCAGGTGATTCTGTTGCATGCTAAGGTTTGGAATCTATTGCTGTAACTAAAGAAATGTTATAGCCTGGAAAAATAAGGGGGAAAGAGATGATTAATCTACACTTTTTATACATGTGCCACCTACAAAGGCTGGAGCCACTAACTGAATTGGCTTAAGAGTGTTTTTCCACTGGAGAACCAGCATGAGGGCTCATGGTATTTTGCCAACTCAGGATGATCAGCCTTCTCAGTGTGCCTGTGACCGTCCCAGGGTTAGCACCAAAATTTCTCTGTCCCAGGAAATTGCTCAGTTCCAAGGAAACCAGGATGCTTGGTCACCCTACTAGCCATGGACATTCTGTATGTGGACCTACGAGTCACAAGAGGAAGCCCAGGACCAGGATCCTGCTATTGGGGAACAATCTGTATTTTCATCTACTTAACAAATTTTAATGGGAGGATGCACCATGAACTTAATTTGTGGTGCCATTGTGCCTTACTCTTTGAATTTGGGGACCATAAAAAGTACAGCCTAGAATGTGTGAGACATGTCATCAGGCTTTCCATTTATTCTCTATGGAGAAGTCTTGAACTCTCTTTATCTATAAGGAGACCTAGGACCCTAACTTTAGAGCCTTGCATGTTAAAGGGCCATAATCTTTGAAAATGCACACAATAAAGTTCAATTTACCCTTCTTCTGAGACAAATAACATCATCAACTTCATATGTATGATGTTGACTGAAGCAGGACAAAGACAGAGGGACAATACTTACGTTCATTGCTGTACCAGAGCATTGTTTTGAGTGTTGGCAACTTTTGACAAAGAAATGACTTTTGTTTATTTTTTTATACATTTGTTCATTAAACATTTACTGAGTTCTTATTATTTACAAAAGTCTGAGTTTAAATTGGATGTACAGGTATACTATACACTATATATATAATATGTATAATATAATATATTATACAAAGGTCTGTCTGAAAAAAGTCCAGCTATTGTTAATATAACAAGAATGATTTGCACAACATCGATGTAACCTGGCAGCCAAGGAGAATGGACTGGAATGAGCATGGAATGAACAATAATGACTTCACTGTACTAGTCAGTGAGGGTGGTAGACACATGTTGAGTGAGCATGTGTACTATGAGGCCATCTCATTCCAAATGACTGAGCGAGTAGAGCAATGAATCTGCATCAAATTTTGCACTGAACTTGAACATTCCTCCATGAATGTTCAGGCTATTCCAATGGTTCAGAAGGACAAAACTATGGACAACTGGTGATTGACAGTTTCATCATGACAATGAGTCTGCTCATGCATCACATCTTGTGCACAGTTTTTTGGCAAAATGTCATATCACCCAGGTGACTCAGCCCCACTACAGCCCAGAATTAGTGCCCTGCAACTTCTGGCTTTTCTCAAAATTAAAATCACCTTTAGAAGGGAAGAGATTCCAGGCCATCTATGGATTCAGGAAAATATGAGAGGACAGCTGATAGCATTTGGGAGAACTGTGTGAGGTCCCAAGGTGCCTACTCTGAAGGAGACTGAGGCATCATTGTCCTGTGTACAGTGTTTCTTATATCTTGTATCTCCTTCAGTAAATATCTCTATGTTTCACATTACATGGCTGGTTACCTTCTAGACAGAACTCATATAATGTTTTATGCAAAATATTACTAACACATGTAAATAGCCATTTTGCAGAATTTAATGACTGCCCACGTTCTTCTGGAGACTGGAATTACATGGCATTTTTGTCAAATCCACATAGAATGTATACTCAAAGGAAGGGAACTCTTCTTTGTTAATTTTTTTTGGCCATTTATCACAGTGGTTGGCACATAACAGTCCCTTAAAATATTAGTTAGGTGAATAAATGTGTGCATGCATGAATGAATCTGAAACATTGACTTTGTAGGCTTTTTAGATTCCATATTTTAACTTTCTAAAGCATAAAAATAGGGTCATCTTTTAAAAATACTGTTGTGTAAAATTCATTTTTTATGTTTTAACAGTCCTATGTAATAAATGATCATAGTTACAAGTATATTAGAATTACATATTAGAATATATATATACATAGATATATATTTTAATCCTCACCCAAGGTTATGTTAATTAATTTTAAAGACGGGGGAAGAGAAAGAGAGAAATCAATGTAAGAAACATCAATCAGTTGTCTCCCTTATGCTCTCCGACCAGGGATCTAACCTGCAACCTAGGTATGTGCCCTGACCAGGGATTGAGCCCACAACCTTTTGGTGTATGGGACAACATTCCAACCCACGGAGCCACCCAGCCAGGCAGAAGATATTTTTTAATAAAAATAAAATAGAATATTATGGGACTGAACTGTGTGTGAAAGTTTAGTGCATGATAAAAAAAATGATAGATTCAGAGAACATAAAACTACTCATTTAGTAGTCGCTGCTTTCTTTTCACTTGAAAGTCAATGAATAAACATAAGCTGTTAGGAATAATGATAATCCATTATTGCTGTATTCTTGAGAGTAGGTGGCTGGGAGCTTTTTTTGTTTGGAAATGAAAAGCAGTCTCTAAACCTCAGAAATGCTTCAAGAGGAGAAAGCATGAATGTAAACACATTAGCACAAATAATCTGTTGTGATAATTGATTCAAACTTACTGACCTCAGATATATTGATTTTTTTTCACTGTAAACCTCTGGGTGAATTCAGGGTGAAATTATAATATAAAGGAGTTGCTCCAAATTTTTCTCCTAACAAGGTGAAGTATTCTATTGATTACCTGAATTACTCAAGAAAGACATATTATAGCATATAGGATCGTAGCACTCACCAGAGAACATGGAGTTCCAATTTCCCATTATATAGTGGGAGAACTGATAGCCAGGAATGTGAAATTACTTCCCCAGGGTCACACAGGTAATAATAGTAGGACTGGCTGAAGGTCTCAGGTTTCTTAACTCCCCAGGTTAGTGCTCGTTCCACTGTATCATGTTGTCACTTTACAAGAAATCTGCCTCAGCCAGGAGTGGATCATGGGTTTTCTGCCCCGGAAGCTGGAATCCTGTCATTAACTCATAAATAATTCAAGTGACTGACAATTTTAATGTAAATTAAAATCATATATATTATCTTTAGATCATTTGGGTGGCTTTTAGATATGTAAAAGTACAATACGTTGAAGAATAAATCAAGCTGACTGTCTTATGCGGTTTGGGGGAGAAGAGACAGGAACACTAAAAAGAAAAAATGGCAGGGAGGGTGAGACCTTAATGAAAAAAAATAAACTAGATTTTTAATAATTTAAATTTTAAATTTTATTTAAAACTGTGTGATTACTATATTTTCATATATTTAAGTCCCAGATATTTTTGTATCATTATGTCATCTTCATTTAAATGATTACTAAATCAAAATAAAGAAGAAACATGAGTAAGGGAAAGACAATGCAAGCTTTTATAAAGAGCTTACTGTGTTGCAAGCTATTTTAACACATTTCTCATTTAGTCCTCACAGACCTTTGAGCTATAAATTAAGCTGGGTAATGGATTCATGACTGATACTCATCATAACAAATATTTACTGATCCTGCTGAACACAAGCCATATATCAGACTACATACTAAGAACTTTATATGCAGGACATGACAAAAGTAGGTTTACTGTTGTAAGTACATGAAACACAGAATTTATTCTTGTATTAATATTATTTATTAATTATTGCATTATTTTCCACACAAAAAACTGTAAACCTTCTTTTGCCCTACTCTGTTCACTTTTCTTATAAACTT